CCTCACAAGTCTCCGAGAAGATCATCCCATAGACGATCTCCACTTCGTTCATCACCAGGCCGATCACCCGTCAGATCTCCACATAGAGCGGCACAAGTCAACTAGATCGCCACAAACCTCATCAGATATACAGACAGCTACACGCAGTCCCCGAAGAGCATCGACAATTTGTTAATGATGATGGTTTTGAGGATGATGGAGGAATCATATTTTCTGATGCAGAGATACGGTATTGGATGGTCAATAACCTAGATCTCACATCACCATCTAAAAGTGGCAATACAGCGCAGACGTGTTTGATGAAGGAAGATGATCCAGATGCAATCACTCTACCCCGATCGACCCGATTGACATGCAGTGCCACAGAATCTAGATGCAGCTTTCCAGAAAGCTACGAAAGTTCAGATACCACATCTGCCCAACTTTCAAGCCAAGAAGTTCTCCACGCATAACATGGACTCCTTCTACAAGGCCCAGGACATCGATGAGAACTATAAGATCATCAGCGATGTAAAGAACAAGATTTACAAGATGGATGATCGCAGTTGGCTCATATAGAAACCATGACGAGGCGTGATGTTCTTTGGGTTAAATAGATCTAGGACGATCAATGAGACTCTTATTACTAGATTCGGGATTCCGACGAAGATGATAGAATGATTTATTCTGCCTTACTTATGCAAAAGAAAGATCAGCAGTTTTAACGGATCATCTTACATCTGTTTCAGCAGCACTGACCTTAGCTTCGTCGCCAAGGCCTCCTCGCCTCCTGTAATTGGGGAGAACTTTACAGCCCCACTTTATACAGCCCGTGGTCGACAACATCCATCTTTGACGGAGAAATCGACAAAGTCGCCAAGGAAGTCTCTAAGGATTCCAGGGGAAGTCCTTATGATTAGATCGATGGACACACTAGCCAGCGCCATTCGTCCAGACTTCACAAAGATACTCAGGCAGATCTAAGTTCACGGGCCTACAAAGAGCAAGAGACAGGAAGATAGCCAGCTCTAGAGGTAAAGATTCTTTTCGTTAAGCCCATATGGCAACTATAGAGGAGGATCAGGAAGAGGCAGGACACCCAGAGGTTCCCGCAATTATAGACGCTGAAACACAGGTTCGAACGACTGGAGTCTTCCACCCCAGCCGCTCCAGTACAGCCAGCTCAAGTGGGTGGACGCCTCCAACTACACTGGGAAAACTGGGGAATATTGCAAGACCCTTTACGTCTCCAACATTCTTCAACACGATTTCGTATCCTCTACAGGCCAAGCCTCGCTGACAATCAAACCCCCAAGTTCGATTTACAAAGCAACAACTACCAAAGATAAGAGAGGCTGTTTCATCACTCCTATCCAAACAGGCCATAGAAGTAATAGATCAAACAAGCGTCGAACCAGGTTTCTACTCCCAGTTTTCCTAGTTCCCAAGAAAAACTCCACGGAGAAATACAGACTCATCTACAACATGAGCTTTTTCAACAAGAACTATCTACGCAAACCAATCGGGTTTCAAGATGATACATTTACCTCAGTTACGCCAGATGATTCGCCCTATGGACTACATGGGCAGCATAGATCTACAGGATGCCTACCTGCACATCCCCATTCATCCCGATTCCAGGAAATACCTACGATTTACTCTAGAAGGGCTACATTACCAGTGGAAAGTACTCCCATTCGAATATCATCAGCCCCTGGCTATTCACGAGGATAACGAAACCGATTATCAAATTTCTACATCATAGTCAAGGGCTACGCAGCGCTTTACCTCGACGACGGGATACAAGTAGATCAAGATCCACTGCGTCTCAAACTACAGTTAAATTACATCATAAAGCTACTAACACAACTAGGTTGGTTAGTAAACTTACGCAAGTCGGACCTAGTACCATCGCAAAGACCTGCAGTTCCTAGGTATTCGATTCATCACAAATCGCAAACCAGATATGGTACCAGAAGACCGCTGGCTCAAGATACAGCAGACCATTCCACCAGCTCTACTCTCCCGCTACCACTGCGACAATGGCAGAGCCTACTAGGTCTTCTCACATCAGCCCAAGACATGACTGTCACAGGCAGATTACAGTTACGCCCCTACAGGTCCTCATCAACGCACATCATCTCAACGATGTACAACCATTCAGTCTACCGAAACATCTCAGACCACATCTACTATGGTGGACCAAGAAATCGAATGTCTGGAGAAGGGATTTGTTTAGCAGAGCAGGAATACAAAACCCATCTGTATGTAGACGCGTCACTCCAAGGTTAAGGAGCTCATCTCACCAACCACACGATATCAGGGTTATGGAATCAGCAAGAATGCAAACTCCATATAAACAGTCTAGAAATGAAAGCTGTAATCAACGCTTATTCTACATTGGAGCACATTTCTACAAAATGCGCCAGCCTAATGATCCATACAGACAATTCGACAGTGGCGCTCTACATAAACAAGCAAGGCTCAACGAGATCGATGAACCTTTTGAACCTAAGCTTTCAACTGTTCGATTTAATACAAGATCTAAATCTACATGTCAGAGCAGTGCACATTCCCGAGCCAGAAATATACTAGCAGACGCTCTCTCTCGGCCTCATCTACCATCACCGACAGAGTGGATGATCAACAGGAAAATTTTGCACAGATAATCAAGCAATTAGGGAGCTTGGCTAATAGACCTATTCGCCACGCGATTCAACAATCAGCTACCGACATTCGTGTCACCAGTCCCAGACCCCAAGCTTGGGCAACGGACGCTCTAAGTCTATCATGGAAGGCCTCAAATGCGTCACGCGTTTCTCGCCGCCAGCAATAATACCTCAAGTATTACAGAAAATCAGACAAACACAGAGCTTACAACTAACTCGTCGCGCCTACTGGTCGGCCAGAACGTGGTTTCCATACTAATTCAAGAAATCGGTCAACCAACACTGGAGCTACCGCGCCGCAAACCTGTTAATTCATCCTCACACCAAACAAGTGCACGGAAACCCAGCAATGTTCCAACTACACGTATGGACTGTATGCAAATGTGTTTAAACAAGAGAGGATATTCTGCCAGGGCGGCAAAAGCAGTCACGCTTGCCTTACGCTACTCAACTCGTAATCTTGTACGACGACAAGTGGCACAGTTTCAAAAATTATGCAACAAAGAAAGGGTTTACAGCAAGAGAGGCTTCACAACCTCAAGTGGCAGACTATTTGTGTTACTTACGCCAAAACAAACATTTAAAAGGTTCAACGATATCAACATATCTTGCCGCTTTAGTTCTGTAATCACCATGAGAACGGATGTCAAATTGACAAGATCTCCAGAGTTACTGGCCTTACTACGAGCTTTCCGATTGGAGGACCAAAAGCGGAAGTTCCACGCCAGCTTGGGATCTGAATGTAGTGTTACAACACCTCACGAAAGTGAGGTCTATGAACCTTTGGAATCGACAAACTTTGAATTTCTCTCACAGAAAACACTGTTTCTGCTATCGCTAGCCACAGCAGCAAGAATGTCTGAAATTCACGCTCTGGATTACGAGAGGATACAGTTTGATGACAATCATAACACAGCGCACTCGGATTAAGATGGGATTTCATCGCGAAAAATCAACTGCCAGGTCAACCAGACAGATTATTCCACATCCCGGGCGCTTATCCTCTATTCTCGGATCACAAGATACACAAGACCTATCACTGTGTCCGTAAGAGCTTCAAAGTTTATTTAATGACGATCCAAAACAAGGAGAAGATTTCTCAAACGCTTATTCATCCCTTATCGCCTACGAATCAAACAGAAGTGTCACGGACCACAATATCTATTTGGATAAGGACTGTCATTCTCCGTGCCTACAAGGCAGCAGGCTTGGACCCACCAACAGCATCAAATCCACATGAGATCAGGGCACTGGCCTCTACCCTCGCCTCTACACGGTAACTGTTCCTTGAACACGATTATGGAAGGATGCTATTGGAAATCGAACATGGTATTTGCTAATCACTACCTAAGAGACATCACTACAGAAGATGTCTCTGGCATTCACCATTTCGGACCACTGGTCCTCGCTCAGCAACTGACAGTCCCTCGTAGGCGTTAAAATATTATCCTCACAAGATTAATATGTATTTTATACATACTCATCTAGCTTATAACTCTACGGAGTTTTAGGGCTATGTATATATGTTCAGCTTAAGTATTCAACCTTAAGCATATACTTTGGTATAGTCAATTTCAGTGCCTCTATCAGAGTCACCTATATATATATATATAATTTATATGTATTGTTCAATATATTCATAATGTAATTCCCCTTTAATGGCTTTATATAACCTATGGTTTCTTTATACAGGAAACATCCTAAATCTAAGCTTCATGAAGTTCCCGTAGGGGATATTACAGTATATCTATACAAAATCACTAATTATAAATCCAAAGTATTCTGTTACCCACCTCCGTTCCGTAGGATGCTACAAGCAAAAGAGCATGAGTCAGGATAAGGAAAAATATGTAATTTTTAGAGTAAAATTGATATTTTATACTTATCCTGACTCATGAGGTTAGCCCTCCCATCCTCCCCACATAACGCTTTGGATTTCCTGTAAATTCAAGTGTTGGGCTCACGCTAAATCAGGAGAGAGTGGAGCACATGGCCAGAGGGTGGCGACACCTTTCCGCCAGGGGAGACAAAGGGGAGCAACTCGTGGTGAGTACCAATTAGTGATTTTATTTTGAAGGGAGCTTCAAATAAGGAGATACAAGTGTTCCACTATGTTCGCAAGAAGAAGAAGACAAGCAAAAGAGCATGAGTCAGGATAAGTATAAAATATCAATTTTACTCTAAAAATTACATTTTTAGTCATGCCACTAGGGCACATTGAAACTGTTTCATTCGTGCCATTTCACTATTTACTGTGCTATGACACACAAACTAGGTGCTGTTTGGAGCCGTGATTAATGTTAATGATTTTGTATCTGTGTATAGGTTTAATGAATGTTTTATTATTTGCAGGTATTATTTGATTACTTGAAGAAAGACTCCCAGTCTCCCCGTGTCCTGAACCTGATGCTGAACAGATACTTCCCTCGATGTGGCAGTGCTGATGTAAGTTTAAATCAGGATTTTGATATACCATGTTTCGAGAATCACTATGTTTATTTTGTTCAGTTGCACCCAGTAGTTCATGTTGTTACATGAGTTTCGTTTTGCCTTTCCTTGCAACTTTAGTATTAGAGATGAAATAGCACATGTGGGCTCTATGTGTTGAGCAGATACAGAGGAACATGTCCCGACTGCAGATGAGGGTGAGCAACTTCAGGAAGTTCTTCCTCTCTCTCTGTCTGCATGAGAACCAGAGGAAGAGCTTTCTGCAGGATCAGTATGACACTGAGTTTGGAGAGGAATTTCTGTCTTCCCTGGAGAAACATGTGGACAGATTCCTGGAGGAAGTAGACAAATGTCTTCCTCTCACAGTCCTGGACAAGGTGGGCACTTCCAAGATTTATCACAGTCCTGGCACATGTAAATTGTATGTGAAGTCTTAGATAACATGATTATATTGAAAGTGTATGAGGAAGTCATACCAAAGGTGATAGATGTAGCATATATCAAACACCATAGACAAGGGTATATCTGACAGATAATGTAGGGTATATCTGACAGTTGCAGATAAGATGGACACATGTAGGGTATATCTGACAGAGATAATGTAGGGTATATCTGACAGTTGCAGATAAGATGGACACATGTAGGGTATATCTGACAGTTGCAGATAAGATGGACACATGTAGGGTATATCTGACAGTTGCAGATAAGATGGACACAGGTAGGGTATATCTGACAGTTGCAGATAAGATGGACACATGTAGGGTATATCTGACAGTTGCAGATAAGATGGACACATGTAGGGTATATCTGACAGTTGCAGATAAGATGGACACAGGTAGGGTATATCTGACAGTTGCAGATAAGATGGACACATGTAGGGTATATCTGACAGTTACAGATAAGATGGACACATGTAGGGTATATCTGACAGTCACAGGTATATTTACAGGCATGGAGCTTAGCATGTAGATGTTTCTCTTCAAGTTCTTCCACATGAAATGTTAGTGCCATGTCTGTCAAAGGTGAAGGTCATGGTTGTATCATTTATGGCCAGTTACTGTTGCACATAGAGTTGTACAGTCTTGAGACTTTGCTAATTTGAGGATTTTAAGAAGTCCATGTCTTGAAGTGATATTTGTTTGCTACAAATAAGTGGTGGTGTTATATTTAAGGAAGTGGCAGTGATTGGATTACTTCTGTTTTGGCAAGTGCATAATCACACCTTGTTTGGTTTGTGCTATTTATAAGCCTTGACTACTACAGATTCTGAAGAAAGGTGTTGAGTCCGTCTGCTGTGGTGTACCGTCTATGTCAGTCGAGATGGACATCCTGCTGGAATGTTTGCTGAACAAGTCCGAACTCAATGCCCTTGACCTACTGGATCTCTTGACCCTCATCCATCCAATGAGCACACAGGATCAGATCCGGCCCTGCTTACAACTCAGTCTATGTTCAGAAGAAAGGTATGTTGATTCTCACCCCTGTGGGTTACACCATAGTGAACATTGATCTGCACAAGAGACATATTATAAAAAGGATAATACTTAAAGACGTCAACTCATATCATCACTTCAACATAAATAGATATCTAGGAATGTGTGGGCATTTGAAGAATAGTTTTGCAATGCTTACATCATGTTTGTTTAGGACATTACTTGTAGTCTTGACAAAGACATAAGTAGTCAGAGGGCCATCATGCTATCCAGGTTACCACTGGGAAGACCTCACTGAAATGCCTCTTCTGTCTGCTTTGTACAAATAACATGTGGTTAGAAGAACAACCTGCAAGTATCAAATTACTGATAGAAATGATGTGCCAACTTTTGACACAGCTCTATACTGAAAATTGTTCTATGACAGAGGTACTCTTTAAGAAAGTGCCAAACCCTGAATGTATCAATTGTTTGCTGGAAAAGTATTTCAGCATTTATGTTACGATGTTACTTTCCATGATATAGTTCTTGGCTACAAGTCTAATGAGGTAACTTTCGTAGTTTCAGCTTGCATGATTCTCGGGCAGGAGGTGATGTGTCAGACACCCATGTCAGTGACCTGAAGACAGGAACAGACAGGTCAGCAAAACCTTTGCTGAACGGGCTTGACCTCACAGTCCCAGATTTGAGTCAGTCGGTAACTGCATCAGAAGAGTCTGTCTCAATCCTCAGCAAGAGGTCGCCAGGTGTTTTGAAGTCCAGGTAGGTTAGCTCACACCAACACAGACTGGACACCCTCTGATTCCATGTTTGTCTGCTACTTGAGTATGAGAGACTGACAGCTACACAGACTAGACAGGTAACTGGAGAGACAGCTTCAGAGACGACCAACTGTTTACCTTTAGATGTTTCTATTCACAAAGATGTTACTCTGATAGTACGCACACATTCTATAAATGTGTATTTTCTTGTTTATCAACTGATTGTAACTATCACTAGGTTTCATGTAGTGATTGAGTGAATGTTGAAGCACATGGTTTGCAATGTTTGTTTTGAGATCCATTCCAAAGGGTAAAGATGAGATAAACCAACTGTATTTAATATTGAAATGTATATTTTTTCTTATCCTGACTCATGCTTATTTGCTTGTCTTTTTCTTCTGGCAAACCTAGTGGAACACTTGTATCTCCCAATTGAAGTTCCCTTCAATAAAAAATCACTCATTAGTACTCACCACGAGTTACCTCCCTTCTGCAAGCTCGGGAACGAGGGCGCCACCCAAGCCCATGTGCCTCACTCTCTCCTTCTTCGCCCAGTGAGCTGGACGTGAGAGCGCCTGTGTCTCCCAACACACTATATCCTTTATTTATATTTAGTTAGTTCCTCTTATACGTTAGTATAGAGGTATTACTAGTATATTTATTCAATTTGCATTGATTATTAATTGTGTTTCTGCTGTTTATTCACGCCGCGTGATTGTTCAGTAGGCTACATTAATGAAAATTTGCACAGATTGTAAACTCACGTTATTCTGATACCGATCCACATTTAAAATGCCCTAGTTGCATTACTCCATGTTCCTTTGATTCTCGTTGTAAATTGTGTATCAATTTACCAATCTCTGCCTTTGACAAATATTTATGTTCCGTTTATAGGCGGAAGGCAGAAAAATCTAAGTAAACAGATTTCAAACATGGCTAACAGATCGCAAATTAATGTTCCTTGTCAACTGTTGATTGAGGACCGCCACCGGCTGGTGGCATGCCTGAGTTTCCCTCGCGGATAAGCGTGGGGCGCAGTCCGCTATGTCAAGAAGCGACCTGCATCTCAAGAGCTGCCGTCTTCTCAGTCCAAGTCGAGGAAACCAGCCGTATCATCTCGTACACTGCGTACACCAAGATCTACACCTTCATCTAAAGGGAAGTCAACAAAATCTAATAATTTCGTCTCTGATATCTTACCAGTTACAGAATTAGCATTATATGATGATGATATGCCAATTATCATTCCAGAAGTTCGTCACAAGAAACGGCCCGTTTCTGCGACTGTCACCTCAGCGCAGATGAACACACAACCGGACATGCCGACACTATCACCAGAAATTTTATCTGAGGGTCCCGTCACCTCTGCAGAGAGACATCCCTCATCAAAGCAGACCGCTTCAGACGACTTGATCAACCAGATAATCAGGGTGATGGAAGACCGCTACGGCTTACAGAGGCCTCAGAGCCCACCCCATATTAAGTCATACAGGGCCTCAGAGCCCGCCTTGGCTTCGCGTAGGGCCTCTGAGCCCATAGACGCGCAGCGCCGAAGGGGCAACCCTGCCGAGGTGAGCTCTTTGCATAAGGTATCCCAGGCCGCCCAGGCTTCACGCCCGAGCACGCACTTCAAGGAGAAGGCTGCCGGTTAACGCATGCACGGCGGGCTTTTCGCAGCAAGCCATATGTCGGATCGGACACTGACTCCAGACATTCGTGGGGCCTTGAAAGGATAAGTGGTTCTACATTGCCTAGAAGGCGTTACAGCGTAGCCCTCAACGTTCGAGAAGTCCAGAGCGCGTCATGGTTATCACCGTTCACGAAGCCCACAGTCTCCGCTGGCGGATGTCTTCTCAAGGTCTACATACACTAGCCACTCGTCAGTCCGTTCTCCTCAGTCCTCACATAGATCTTCTTACAGATCGAGGACTCCGACATATCACTATATCGTCCAGAGGAGGACGATGGTATCATTTTCTCAGAGGCTGAGATAAGGTATTGGATGGTAAACGAATTACAACTGGCCTCCCCTTCTAAGAACGAGGATACAGCCCAAACTTACCTGATGAAAGATGATGATGTAGATCATATCACCGTGCCTCCCTATGGATCCTATCGCATGCCCGTTCCTGCTAAACTGGATACAGCCTACTCCAAATCTACTAAAACCCATCCTACCCATTTACCGTTCTTCAATGCCAAGAGTTTTTATGGACATAATATGGAGCCCTTTTTCAAGACTCAGGAGATTGATGAAAACTTTAAACTTATCAGTGATTCCAAGTCCAGAAGTTATAGGGTAGACGATCACAAGATGGCCCAGTTAGATACCATTTCCAGAAGGATGTTCTTCGGACTTAATAGATCAAGGACTATTAACAAGACTCTCATCACTAAGTTCAAGAACTCTACGGATGAGGAGGACAGGATGATCTATTCAGCTCTACTTATGCAGAGAAAAGATCAACAATTCCTTACAGACCATCTTTCAGCACTTACTGAAACTACTACCATGACACGTCGGCAAGGATTACTAGCCTCCTGCTCTTGGAATAAACAATTCACAGAGCCCCTGTACACAGCTCCATGGTCTTCACCTTTATTGTTTGGTGGCAACATTAACAAGGTTTCCAAGGAAGTATCTAAAGATTCTAGAGAAGTACTCATGATTAGATCGATGGATACGTTAGCGAACGTCTTTAAACAATCAGCACAGAGGTACTCGGGTAAGTCTAAGTTTTCAGGGCTACAGAGAGCACAGGATAAGAAATTAGCGGCCGCTAATAATCCCAAGGATTCTTTTCGTCGCCCGTACAACAAGTTCAGAGGAGGATCAGCTAGAGGCAGATCATCCAGAGGTGCCCGTGGATTTAAACGATGAAAGTCAGGTTCGGAACGACTGGAGTCTTCCACCCCCAGTCGTCCCAGTACAACCTTCTCAAGTGGGTGGACGTCTACAACTACACTGGAAAAACTGGGGAATACTTCAAGATCCGTATGTATCCAACATCCTTCAGTACGGATATCGTCTACAACTCAAGGCCAAGCCACCGTTAACAGTCAACCCACCAGGGTTCAACGTTCATCTGGCACAACTACCGATGTTAAGAGAAACAGTTCAGTCTCTACTAAACAAACAGGCCTTAGAAGTTCTCGATCAGCGAAACATCATACCAGGTTTCTACTCCCCAGTTTTCCTAGTGCCGAAAAAGAATTCCAAAGAGAAGTATCGTCTCATTTACAACATGAGCACATTCAACAGAGAATTTCTATGCAAACCACCAGCGTTTCGCATGATACATTTACCTCAACTCCGTCATCTGATTCGTCCACTAGATTACATGGTAAGTATAGATCTGCAGGACGCATACCTACACATTCCGATTCATCCCAGTTCAAGGAAATATCTGAGGTTTATGCTAGACGGCATACACTACCAATGGAAAGTAATTCCCTTCGGAATCACTTCGGCCCCATGGGTATTCACAAGAGTAACCAAGCCTATTGTCTCATACCTACATCGTCAAGGACTGTGGAATGCATTTTACCTAGACGACGGTATACAGGTGGATCTAGATCCACAGCGTCTCAGACTACAGCTGAACTTTACAATCAAGGTACTAACGCAGTTAGGCTGGTTAGTAAATCTACTCAAGTCGGACCTAGAGCCCACGCAGGATCTGCAGTTTCTAGGTATACGATTCCTTACAGCTCAGAATCGTATGGTAGTCCCAGAGGACAGATGGATCAAGATACAACAACTGATCCCCCAAGCCCTACTCTCTCCGTTACCACTACGACAGTGGCAGAGTCTACTGGGACTACTCACATCAGCTCAAGACTTGACACTCAGAAGCAAGCTTCAATTGCATCCATTACAAGTCCTCATCAATGCCCATCTCGAGGACCCTCTACCGTTCAGTCTACCAGATTACATCAAACCACATCTACTCTGGTGGACCAAGAGATTGAATGTCTGCGCAGGCGTCTCCTTAGTAGAGCCGGAATCGAAAACACATCTCTTCGTGGACGCGTCACTAAAAGGTTGGGGAGCCCACCTTACCGGCAGGACAGCGTCAGGCCTATGGAGCATTCAAGAGAGCTTATGTCACATAAATCTGCTAGAGATGCAAGCAGTCATAAACGCCATAGGTCACTGGAGCAACCTGTTACAGAACGCTCAGTTAATGATTCACACAGACAACTCAACAGTGGCGTTTTTATGTGAACAAACAAGGGTCAACAAGATCACTGAATCTACTCACTCGATGTTTCAGACTGTTCGAATTAGTCGACAGTCTAAACATACGTATCAAAGCCTGCCACATTCCAGGAGCAAAGAATGTGTTAGCAGACGCTCTCTCTCGGCCGCACCAACCGTCGCCGACAGAATGGATGCTCCACACAGAGATATTCAATCAGATAATCATGGAAATAGGATCTCCTCTGATAGACCTATTTGCCACCCGATTCAACAATCAACTGACAACCTTCGTATCGCCAGTGCCAGATCCATTAGCCTGGGCAACGGACGCACTAAGCATATCGTGGGAGGGACTAAACGCGTACGCTTTCCCACCTCCTGCGTTAATCCCACAAGTCTTGCTAAAAATCAGTCAAACGAAGAGCCTCGATCTCATTTTGGTCTCATACCTCATACTAGGAATCGGAAAACCAGTACTTCAGCTCCCACTACGCTCCAATCTACTGATACATCCGCACACCAAACAAGTGCACAAAACACCAGAAGCATTCCGACTTCACGTGTGGATTGTATCAAGGCATGTTTGAATAAGAGAGGTTATTCCACCAGAGCGGCGAAGGCGGTCACGCTTGCACTACGTAACTCTACTCGTAACTTGTACGATGACAAATGGCTCAGATTTGTCAATTATGCTGCTAAGAAAGGATTTTCAGCCAGATTTGCTACACATCCTCAAGTGGCAGATTTCTTATGTTTCCTACGTCAAACTAAGAATCTAAAAGGATCTACACTGTCCACTTATCTTGCAGCCATAAGTTCAGTCATAACTATGAGAGCGGCGTCAAATTGTCTAAAACACGGAGTTACTTTCGGCTTTGTTACGTGCCTTTCGATTGGAAGACCAGAAACGGAAGTTTCAAAGCCAGCCTGGGATCTAAATGTTGTACTTCAACACCTCACAAGTGAGGCTTAGGAGCCATTGTTATCTGCGTCATTTCAATCATTGACCCACAAAACCTTATTCCTGCTAGCGTTAGCCACTGCCGCCAGGATGTCTGAAATTCACGCTTTGGATTACGAGAGAACACGATTTGATGATATTCATAACATCGCTCATCTGGGACTTCGCTGGGATTTTATAGCGAAAAATCAACTACCAGGTCAACCAGACAGGTTGTTCCATGTTCCAGCTCTCTCATCCATACTTGGACCGCAGGATACGATGAACTTATCACTTTGCCCTGTACGTGCACTGAAAATATATCTCCAAAGATCCAAGCAAAGTAGAGGGAAATTCAAAAGATTGTTTATCCCTATATCTACCGCCTCACAGACAGAAGTGTCGCGCACTACCATTTCTATTTGGATCAGAACTGTCATACTAAGAGCCTACAAGGCAGCTGGACTGGACCCTCCAAGTGCTACTAATCCTCACGAAATTAGAGCACTAGCTTCAACTTTGGCTTTACATGGAAATTGCTCATTGAATACCATTATGGAGGGATGTTTTTGGAGATCCGATATGGTGTTTGCCAACCACTATCTGAGAGATATCACCACCAAGGACGTCTCAGGTATCCACCATTTCGGTCCCATGGTCCTCGCTCAACAGTTGACAGTTCCACGGAGAAGATAAGTCTATCTTGTTGATTTTATACTTATCTGATAACAGTACTAATAGCTACATGCTATCTATATATATTTGCTTAAGTTAAAATATTATCTTAAGCTCAGTACTATGATTCTATATCATAATATATATATACCTACAACTCTTACAAGTTTCTACTATTATATATATGTTCAGCTTAAGTTTCTATCCTTAAGCTCGGTCATATGTTCATTTCATAACATGTATTAGTATCAAACTCTCAGTAGTTGGTTACTATTATACAGCTTAAGTTATCATTATACCTTAACACAGTTATGTTATAGCTTATATATATCCATATTGTAAGCTTACTACTTTGGTTCTTATAAAAGTATTCATTATAAACTATCAACAGTTTATACTATCACATTAATGGCTTTAGCTTAATTAATGTTCTATATACTTTTATTATATTCAGTAAATTGTAATAACCTTCTTTAAAAGGCAGCTGTTAAATTAACAGCAGGAATTCAGTTCAGTGCCTTCATGAAGTTCCCATAGGGTTTTACAATCATCTCAGTTTAAATCACTAATTAGTAAAATCCAAAGTATATATAATCCCACCTCCTAATCCGTAGGATTCTACAAGCAAATAAGCATGAGTCAGGATAAGAAAAAATATGAAATTTTTAGAGTAAAATTAATATTTTTATACTTATCCTGACTCATGAGGTAAGCCCTCCCGTCCTCCCCATTTAACACTTTGGATTTCTCGGGAAAAATAAAGTGTTGGGCTCAAAACAAAAAAGGAGAGAGTGAGGCACATGGGCTTGGGTGGCGCCCTCGTTCCTGCGCTTGCAGAAGGGAGGTCACTTGTGGTGAGTACTAATGAGTGATTTTTTATTGAAGGGAACTTCAATTGGGAGATACAAGTGTTCCACTAGGTTCGCCAGAAGAAGAAGACAAGCAAATAAGCATGAGTCAGGATAAGTATAAAAATATTAATTTTACTCTAAAAATTTCATATTGATCACCAGTAAATGCAAGACATTTTGAATTTAAGTATATTCAGCTACCAAAATGAAGCTCAAAACTTTTATTTTAAAGCACAGATTATTTATCTCTATTCTACAATGCCACATGACAAAACTAACTAAATCTCATTGGCTATAGCTGAAATGATTTAAAGCCTAACATTTGTATATATTGAAACGGCAGGTTCAGAACTCAGCAGAGATCTGTTTTGGTCTGCATATCCACATTTTTTATGTACCCAAAATAAAAGTCCAAACCATACTTTAATAAATACAGCATAAGGTTTTCATCGATTTGACTTTTTAAAAAGTGAGAAAGAGGGCATTTTGTTTTTCGAAGGATGATGACCCTCAATCTAAAACAGTAAAACAGAATTCACTTGTATCACCTACATTACAACTTTACAACTTCTACGATGGTTGTCATAAATCACAAGTTAATGATTTGGAACCTGTAGCTCTGTTACATGACCTTGGCAGCTTTTTGCACCCTGCCAAAGAAAACATTTAAACAATGTCTGTTAAACATGGATGAAGTCATGTTTCATCATTTGGAGCTTTTTAATGCTGATATCACAGACATTGTAACATTTGGGCAGATATTGATTTTAATTAGGATGGAAAAAGTGGCAAAAACGTTTACTGAGGCAGTACATTTTCTGGTGAAATGGGGCAGAGATCACAATCTAACAATTCAGTGTAGTCTTATACTTCAACCACTTCACTGAGACACAAAATTATGTAGTCAGCTGTCCCGTGCAAACATCTCGAGAGAAAATTAAGTGACCTTTGTACTGTCTTGTTGTCGAGTACACTTCAGTGTTTGACAGTTTGAGGTCTATGTTACCCTGTAGGCAGCACAGTAGGTGGCAGACAAGCAGCAAAACTTAAAGGTCACATGCAACCAAAAAATCAAACATAATTAAAACACAATTATCACTTATTCATGACATATAATATACATTGCTGGTTATGAAAAAAACATATAAACAAAATTATCAGCGTACAATCGCAAATCAAAAGTGCAATATTGTGTACTTGGGTTTACTTACCAAGAAACGAAGCAGCCGGGATACCGAACCCAGTCAGAGCGGGTGGGTGTGCACTTAAGTGTAACGGCTGGTTCATTTGCAGATTCCCTCACGGCTCATTGTGTGTGTATATATAGAGCTGTTGGGTTTTGTAAATACATGCTCATTTTTTTGTGTATAACATTTTGCAATCAACAGACATCATAACATGTCTTGTGTTCAAGTATCACACCTGCATGTCCGTGTAATTACATAATGTGACAGAGACCAAACTCGGGCCATAAATCAATGCGTTTTGTTTATGGTGTATAGCCTGATTGGTGTTAAGTTCAAATTGCATGTGGTCAGTGATCGCAGCTGTGTATTGAATATTGTCATTAGCAGACAGGCAGGCAGGCAGACACACAGGTGTCAATAAAACAAGACATTGAGTTTTGTCTGTGACAACGACATATCTATATCACAGTTAGAAATTCTGTCAACGCTAAATAATGACATTGCTTTTAAGTATCGAACTGAGAAAGTGACTCGGTAAGAAGAACGTGTGGTGAAATAGACACATGAAATTATATAAACAGTTTATTTACTGTCATAACATATAAAAAGCTCGCGCCTGTGAGATATCAACAAAACATTAGGAAAATAGCTCACACCAAAGCCTTCACCGAGTATTCACCAGACAGCCCGCTTCCAAGTTGCGCAATCCTATTTCACTGCGCATGTGCTATGAGCGCAGCCCAGCTGTTGAAACCAGTTTTCCCCCGAAAAGTCTGGGGAAAATTAGTGATCGTTTGAACTCCGATTTCGCGCGGTTTTTTCATCGCGTTATTTTTCAACTTTATAAGTTGAATTTGCATTTTTGATGATTTGTTTCGGTAAGTCCATACCGAAAGGTATCAGAATCTGCAAAGTTGTGTTTTACGTTGCATGTGACCTTTAAGCTATGTTGATGTTACCGAATTTTAACATACATTCTCCAAATAATCAATCTTGTGCGCCAAGTTTTCCTCTGAAATATATTGCAATTCAGAGCTTGTGCAACTTGATTCACTCTCTCAGATTCATCAAACAACGTAGTCTGTCTCACAGTCCCAGAACCACATTATTTTCCCTTCCGTCCAACCCTTCCTGCAATGCTAAAGCACTAGATGAAGCAAGACTAGATTCCTCAGGTTCAGAATCTCAGAGCTCACTGGGGCTCCTTTTGAATGGAGTAATTTGTTTGTGTCAGAATTATGTATGTTCAGAGACAAAGCAGACTAAAGCCATTAGGCTAAAAAAAACCCAGTATGTCAGTTTCCTATTACATGCTTTTTAAATATAGGGTAGGTGGGTTGATTTTATCTTCTTCTTTTTTTACTTTTTTATTGTTTAGTAGCACCAGGTGGGCACCTGAGAATGTCTTCAAGGATACCATGTCATGCTTGACCATGCCTTGTGATGAAACATTGAAAGATATCTGTATGAAATCATTATTCATGTTATTTATTTGCAGGTTTTGTCAGTGAGAGCCCATTATGCCAATTCAATGCAATCCATTTTAGCCCTACGCACACTGGAAAACATGAAAATATCCCACTTGATTTGGATAAAAATGATGAGTTGAAATATGCACTCCAGTCATGATGGTTGGGGTTAGAATAGGGTTGTCGGGTAACCGGAAATGGACATTTAAAAAAAATAAATTTGGCCTTAGTATGTAGGTGTACAGTTGACAGTACACACATGATGGAGTAGAATTTGTTGTGTTGATGTTTGGATGTTGTTGCTCTATGTAGGGCCTGCATGACAGCTGACCTCTCTGCCGACCCTCCTGCTGACCTGAACCCATCTCAGGTCTGCATTATCTCCAGCAGCAGTGACAGAACCACACAGGGGTCACAGGTCACAGGGCAAGTCATGGTATGCCAGCCATTTGCATGTTTACAAGATGAAACATATAATAAGAGAACCACTATAACAGCCATATTGTAAAGAAGAGTTTTGCTCTATGATGTGTCATTTCTTTTGTCAATATGCATCAAATCAGTGTGGTAGGCAATTTAGAATATTTTGCATTTTGCTTGCAAATTTTGATTTTTGATTGAACTACCTCTTTTGACTTGTTGTGATTGTTCTATTTACGATATGCTCTACAACAGCATTCTTACCCGACAACAAACATGGCTGCAATATTCATGACATTAATACTTTTATCATTGCTAAGCCATTGCTGCATGTATCATTATTACATCTGATACCCAGAAATTAAGTTGAATGACAGAATGCTAAGGTAATGTTTGGATACTTCAGCCACTGTGGTTACCATTATAGTGGCTTTGTCAGTTTTCAACATGACTGATCAGTATCAACAAGCAAGGGAATCTGTGACATGATGTGGGAAGTAGAATGTCAGTAAATCTGTCAAATTCTAAGATGCTTCGGTGAAAGCTGACTGACTGACTGAGTTTAGTTTTACGCCGCTTTTAGCAATATTCCAGCAATATCACGGCGGGGGACACCAGTAATGGGCTTAACACATTGTGCCCATGTGGGGAATCGAACCCTGGCCTTCGGCGTGACGAGCCAACGCTTTAACGACTAGGCTACCCCACCGCCCCTTCGGTGAAAGATCAAAGGCGCCAACTGTACTTTATCAGACGATAATGTGCATTTTTTGCTTTATGTCACAATATTGGCGTCACTGCACCATTCTAGTCTGACCCCTCGTAATCAAACTATTTTGCATGTTAGTTGTCATCGCCTTGTACAGCCTCCTACAGTAAACTAATCCGTTGCATCCTGTTTCTTGGTTTGCAGTTAAAATGTCTCAATTCTACTCACAAGTTTTCAGCGACACGGTAACATTTGCAGTGTTTGCATTCCCACAATGTAATCGTGGAATGTCGCTTCACCACTCAGCTTCATCTGGATGTACTGATCTAAACTTATGTTGGTAGTAGAAATGCGACATTCATATTGCCCTATTTGGTTTAAGTTAATCACAGATGTAATTAAAATTATTTCAAGAAGATATTTTATCCGAACGTAAACCGTCATCAAACTGTTTATCATTTGTTTTTCTGGTAACGTTCGTCTTAACGTAAGGAGGCAGACACATCAATAGAACAGAATGCCAGTTAGCCCTGTGCGAGGATTCTTAATTTAGGTCACCCACACCGTCGTTTGTTTTCTGCCTTGGATTAATCGTAATTATCCTTAGAAAGTATTAAATTTGGCATCTTAGAAAAGAAATACTGTTCGCTCTACCACCATGTATAGTGTAATAAAGCACACTTTCGCCCTGAACTATTATAGTTAAAGCACGTGGATGAATGATGAATGATGCAAGCCCTATACCAAGAATTGTTGCTTAGGGACCGTTCATAATTTATGGCTAGGGGGGTGATGATGATTTTAAGGGGGGTGTCACCCATTTTGTTCTGGGGGGTCATCAATTTTGTACACACATACTAAGGGGGTCATCAATTTTGTACATAAAAATATGTTTAAAATTATGCTTAGAAGTTATGGGAAGGGGAGGGGGGTCATTGATTTTGTACATGACATGCAGGGGGGTTACTTATTTTCTACATAAATTTTAGGGGGGTTCATTCATATTGTACATGCTTCTCCACAAAACTCATCTCTTTCTCTCTCTCTCTCTCTCTCTCTCTCACACACACACACACACCTAGCCATAAATGTTACAGAGTTAGGTATTGATAATAGGAGCAGATTCCAATCCCCTTGTAGTGCAATTAATGTCACAAGACAATATTGTCATTCTGTCATGTTTGTATTGCCATTTATGCCACACCCAGATCTCCCCTGTTGGAAGCTATTTGTCTCACAGCTGAGAAATTGCTCTTTGATTTCTGGACCTCAGTCGCAACCACCCTCACCATTTTTTCTGTTTATTATCCCCTGACACGCGTTTAGTGCGAAGTGGGGGATATAGTATTAGGCTCCGTCCATTTGTACGTACAAATTGGAATATCTTAAGAACCGTTGACTAGATTCTTTTCGTATTTGGTACCTAGGTTCATCACAGTATGCGAAAGATGCCAGTCAGGTTTGGAGACCTTGACCTTCATTTCAAGGTCACAAGGGGACTTTAACGTTTTACCCTTGTCAGCGAGATATCTCAAGAACTGTTTACTGGATTTTCTTCATAGTCTACGCCAAGCTTCATCTAGGGAAGGCGCAGAGCCCAGTTGATTTGGTGACCATAATTTTCAAAGTCACAGCGACACTTTGAAGATTTCAGCATGTTAACCTGCATGTTAAGCTTGTCAGCGAGATATCACAAGAACGGTTCACTGGATTTTCTTCATAGACTTTCAAGGCTTCTCTTAAATGTTTTTGATAAGCAATGTCTTTATTACTGTTTTTGCATATTTCATACACCATGACATTTATGTCAGGGTCAAACTGAGTCTTGAAAATATTTGTGTGTTTGAACAACTACAGAGCAAGCTACCTGGTTATGTTTTTGTTGACATTTGACATTCACCTTCACTTTCATTACTTTTTTAATTTGATAATGTGCGGTGGGGGATTATGTCACCTTAGTGACGATGCTTGTTGAGAAACTGTCTCAGAGATGGTTTTTTTTCTCTGTTGTATATGAATAAAATCTGATACTAATCAGCATAAGGCATCAGTATATCAGTGTGTCTGTGCTTGGTCAGCCATGTGCATGTTATCACATATTAATGATGGATTAAGAGAGGTAACGCCACACATAAATTAGTCAGTGAAAATCAAATCCTATTGATGTCCTGCGATCGATGTGTAGTGACAGTGAGCATTAAGATCTGAGGTGAGATTGGTGCTGCTGTATTTGAATGGTGATAGTTTTGTGACTAACTATAATCATAAAGCGTGTTATACCCATCACTCAGGTCATGGCTCTATGTCTTGATATTCACCAAACTATCAGGAGCAAAACAACATTCACTCATTCACTTGGCTCCATATAAACTACTGTGCTGCATAGCCTTCATTATATGTATCCCACTAAAGCCCTTTCCTTGTCCTTCCCTGCTACATTGTCTGTTGTTTATTTACAGGGTGTGTGTAAAACATCAACGTCTGCCCCTGCCGGTCACATTGTGAGAGGTCTGTTTCCCAGTATGCTGACAGATATGTTGTTTACTCTTTATGTTCTGCTTAAATATGTCTACCATTGTTTTATTCATGTTGCCTTCAACCTGTAGAGGTGCTGGGTAAGAAGGTAGGTCCCCAGCACCCTATGTGTGTCATGAGAAGGATCAAGATGACTTGCATCTCATGATATCCCAGATGCATGGATCAAGTGCTCATGATGTCAATCACTATATTGTCCCAGCCAAAGCTAGAATGTTCCTGAGAGTCTTGTTAAATAATTGTTGTTAAAACCCACAAATCTATATTGTCCTGCAGTAATCAGTACTGCATATGTTCTTACCATAAACCATATAGCTGGAATATTGCTGAGTGCGGCGTAAAACTAAACTCACTCTTACCATAGAACATCCTTTGCTTTGTCATTGTACACGTACAAACTGCCAAAGTTTCTCTCAACTTCCTTCTTGGTACCCAGGACCAGACAGTGACTCTGACATTCAACTATGGACAGACGATTCATTGGAGGAATCAGTCAATGCTGACTCGAGTTTGTCAGACATCTGTGCCAGTGAAATGATCCCATCTTCTAATACTGAAGAACTAGAGGTAGGTCGTACATTACATCTCACACATTCAGGTAGGCCTTATGGTATTCAGTGATTAGTGACAGTGTATTCCAACATATCCACAGGCTACGTTCAGGATATTCAAAAAGTGTTCAACCATTAACACAGCGTTCAAACATGCACTTTAGTTACTGTCCACCATTACCTAGTGGCTCACACATTCAGGGTAGCACAGTGGTGTTCTTCCATTTGTACAAGCCTGAACTATTTAGGGTATCGACAGGGTCTTCACCACGAGCTCCATGCTGATTCATTCAAGGTATCCACAGGGTGTTCCACATACAAGGCTAACACATTCAGGGTATCCAAGGGGTGTTCCACCCTATCACAAGGTTATCACATTCAGGGTATCCAATGGGTGTTCCACCGTAGCACAAGGTTATCACATTCAGGGTATCCAAGGGGTGTTCCACCGTAGCACAAGGTTATCACATTCAGGGTATCCAAGGGGTGTTCCACCGTAGCACAAGGTTATCACATTCAGGGTATCCAAGGGGTGTTCCACCATAGCACAAGGTTATCATCACAGTAGCCTAAGGGTGTTCCACCATGAGCACAAGGTTATCACATTCAGGGTATCCAAGGGGTGTTCCACCTGAGCACAAGGTTATCACATTCAGGGTATCCAAGGGGTGTTCCAACTGTAGCACAAGGTTATCACATTCCGGGTATCCAAGGGGTGTTCCAACTTAGCACAAGGTTATCACATTCTGGGTATCCAAGGGGTGTTCTACCACAGCACAAGGTTATCACATTCTGGGTATCCAAGGGGTGTTCCACCTGAGCACAAGGTTATCACATTCAGGGTATCCAAGGGGTGTTCCACCGTAGCACAAGGTTATGTTCACAGTAGCCTAAGGGTGTTCCACCATGGCATTAGGTTATCACATTCAGGGTATCCAAGGGGTGTTCCACCGTAGCACAAGGTTATCACATTCTGGGTATCCAAGGGGTGTTCTACCTGAGCACAAGGTTATCACATTCTGGGTATCCAAGGGGTGTTCCACCGTAGCACAAGGTTATCACATTCTGGGTATCCAAGGGGTGTTCTACCTGAGCACAAGGTTATCACATTCCTGGGTATCCAGGGGTGTTCTACCACAGCACAAGGTTATCACATTCTGGGTATCCAAGGGGTGTTCTACCTTAGCACAAGGTTATCACATTCTGGGTATCCAAGGGGTGTTCTACCATAGCACAATGTTATCACATTCCTGGTATCCAAGAGGTGTTCTACTGTAGCACAAGGTTATCACATTCTGGGTATCCAAGGGGTGTTCCACCATAGCACAATGTTATCACATTCCAGGGTATCCAAGGGGTGTTCCACCTTAGCACAAGGTTATCACATTCAGGGTATCCAAGGGATGTTCCACCATAGCACAAGGTTATCACATTCCAGGTATCCAAGGGGGTTCCAACTTAGCACAAGGATATCACATTCAGGGTAGCCCAATTGGTGTTCCAGCATAGCACAAGGTAAAAAAATTCAGGGTAGCCCAAGGGTGTTCCAGCATAGTACAAGGTTAACAAATTCAGAGTAGCCCAAGGGGTGTTCCAACATAGCACTAGGTTAACACTTCAGGGTAGCACAAATGCTGAGATTTTTACCTCTATTGGTTCACATTCGTTCATTGATAATAGTCTAACAACCATCATGTTTACCTGTAACTACACTGGTATCATTAACTGGTTGTATGTCTGCAGGCACTGAGATGGTTGTCAGCAGTGTCCTACCCAAGTCTCGGTCAATATCAGAAGAACAGTAGTGTCAAGCTGTGCGTGGTGAAACTGTACAGGGACAAGGTATGTACTGTACACTAGGGAACAGTGTGTGCCAGGGTGATCGGAAGGCTGCCATTAAACTGTACAGGGACAAGGTATGTACTGTACACTAGGGAACAGCATGTGCCAGGGTGATCGGAAGGCTGCCATTAAACTGTACAGGGACAAGGTATGTACTGTACACTAGGGAACAGCATGTGCCAGGGTGATGGGAAGGATGTCAAGAAACTGTACAGGGACAAGGTATGTACTGTACACTAGGGAACAGTGTGTGCCAGGGTGATGGGAAGGATGTCAAGAGACTGTACAGGGACAAGGTATGTACTGTACACTAGGGAACAGCATGTGCCAGGGTGATCGGAAGGCTGCCATTAAACTGTACAGGGACAAGGTATGTACTGTACACTAGGGAACAGCATGTGCCAGGGTGATGGGAAGGATGTCAAGAAACTGTACAGGGACAAGGTATGTACTGTACACTAGGGAACAGTGTGTGCCAGGGTGATGGGAAGGATGTCAAGAGACTGTACAGGGACAAGGTATGTACTGTACACTAGGGAACAGTGTGTGCCAGGGTAATGGGAAGGATGTCAAGAAACTGTACAGGGACAAGGTATGTACTGTACACTAGGGTACAGTGTGTGACAAGGTAATGGGAAGGATGTCAAGAAACTGTACAGGGACAAGGTATGTACTGTACACTAGTGAACAGTGTGTGCCAGGGTAATGGGAAGGATGTCAAGAAACTGTACAGGGACAAGGTATGTACTGTACACTAGGGAACAGTGTGTGACAAGGTAATGGGAAGGATGTCAAGAAACTGTACAGGGACAAGGTATGTACTGTACACTAGGGTACAGTGTGTGACAAGGTAATGGGAAGGATGTCAAGAAACTGTACAGGGACAAGGTATGTACTGTACACTAGGGTACAGTGTGTGCCAGGGTGATGGGAAGGATGTCAAGAAACTGTACAGGGACAAGGTATGTACTGTACACTAGGGAACAGTTTGTGCCAGGGTGATGGGAAGGATGTCAAGAAACTGTACAGGGACAAGGTATGTACTGTACACTAGGGAACAGTCTGTGCCAGGGTGATGGGAAGGATGTCAAGAAACTGTACAGGGACAAGGTATGTACTGTACACTAGGGAACAGCATGTGCCAGGGTGATCGGAAGGCTGCCATTAAACTGTACAGGGACAAGGTATGTACTGTACACTAGGGAACAGTGTGTGCCAGGGTAATGGGAAGGATGTCAAGAAACTGTACAGGGACAAGGTATGTACTGTACACTAGGGAACAGTGTGTGCCAGGGTGATGGGAAGGATGTCAAGAAACTGTACAGGGACAAGGTATGTACTGTACACTAGGATACAGTGTGTGCCCGGGTAATGGGAAGGATGTCATGAAACTGATCATTGCATTTATATTTCAGTGCATGGATGTTACTCAGCATGGAGACAAGGTGACAATGTACAGCTAACAGATGCCAGGGTGACAATTTACAGCTGATAGACACCAGTGCCAAGGTGACAGTGTACAGCTAACAGATGCCAGGGTGACAATTTACAGCTGATAGACACCAGTGCCAAGGTGACAGTGTACAGCTGATAGACACCAGTGCCAAGGTGTCAATGTACAGCTGATAGACACCAGTGCCAAGGTGTCAATGTACAGCTGATAGACACCAGGTGTCAATGTACAACTGATAGACACCAGGTGCCAATGTACAACTGATAGACACTAGGTGTCAATGTACAGCTGATAGACACCAGGTGCCAATGTACGACTGATAGACACCAGGTGCCAATGTACAACTGATAGACACCAGGTGCCAATGTACAGCTGATAGACACCAGGTGCCAATGTACAACTGATAGACACCAGGTGCCAATGTACGACTGATAGACACCAGGTGCCAATGTACAACTGATAGACACCAGGTGCCAATGTACAGATGACAGGTGACAATGTGCGGCTGATAAACACCAGGAGCCATAGTGACAATGTACAGGCGAGAGACACCAGCAACCCAGTTCCAAAAATCGTCATCATAAACCTGATATTGTTTAGGGGTTGGTTATTTCTGTTGTTCTTATACAGACACATTAAACCATATTTATATATTTGTAAATTATTCTATTTGTAATAATTTTTTATCATGGTAAATTCTGAAATAGTTCAGAATCACTGTTGTTGATGCCATACACATCTCCACCACTAATTGTAACTTGCATGGACAATCACCTGTGACCAGGTACCAGTGAATGTGGAGTAACACAAAATGTATAGCATATTGTATAAATATCTTTATGAAATTGATATAAACATAATGAAGACAGGAAGGCTCTCAGGATTGTAGATTGTAATGTCGTTATTGGCAGTTCATTTTAATCATCTGTTTTAACAATTCTAATGTTCCAGTTTCCAACTTGTATACTGTTCCTCAGTTGTACAGATAATGGATACAGGACACTGTTTGATGAGCTGTCAGCAAAAGTACAATCATCATTACATATGTCGCAGTTGTTTGCATGGACTGTAGCTCTGCTCATCATTTTTCAAGAACATCAAATAAATGACATGTTGAGGGCTCCTTTTTTTTTTTAAACTGCAAAGGAAATTTCGTGGTGATAATGGCAACAGTGTCACAGAAGAGATAACTTGGGTGTACAAATGCAAACAATGGTAAGTTGGGCTTAAAGTGCTCCTAATAATAAGTGCATTGATCGACTATGTCCATCTCCAGCTAAAGTCATGCCAACTCAATCACCCTCTATTAAAAAACAAATGTGTTCCTGCTATTTGCCTACTAGTCACCTGTGTAGATTCTGGGTCCAGTGTCTAGCACTGCCTACTGGTCACCTGTGTAGATTCTGGGTCCAGTGCCAAGTACTACATACTGGTCACCTGTGTAGATTCAGGGTCCAGTGTCTAGCACTGCCTACTGGTCACCTGTGAAGAATCAGGGTCCAGTGTCTAGCACTGCCTACTGGTCACCTGTGAAGAAGCAGGGTCTAGCACTGCCTACTGGTCACCTGTGAAGAAGCAGGGTCCAGTGTCTAGCACTGCCTACTGGTCACCTGTGTAGATTCACGGTCCAGTGCCTAGTACTGCCTACTACATACTGGTCACCTGTGTAGATGCAAATAATCAAGTCTGGACCAGACAATCCAGTGATCGACAGCATGAGCATCAATATACACAATTTGGATATGATGTGTGTCAACCAAGTCAGCGAGCCTGACCACACAATCCCATTACAGTCAGGCCGTTGTAGTTCCTTCATACAACAAGCATAGGTTACGGTGTCCAGTGCCTAGTGCTGTGAACTCATCAACTGTGTAGATTCACAGTCCAGTGTCTAGCACTGCCTACTGGTCTCCTGTGAAGAAGCAGGGTCCGGTGTCTAACACTGCCAACTGGTCACCTGTGTACTGGATATGTGTGTAGCTGCAGGGTCCAGTGCCCAGTGCTGCCAACTCACCTCCTGTATAGATCAGGCGCCTGGTCACGTTTAACAATGAGGAAGTGCCTTTATTCCCAATTACTCATCATTGCTATTTCAAATAAGATATTTCGGCTCATAACAAAGTTATGACATTACAGAAGTACCAAGGTCAGGGGTAGACTGCAGTATTTGGGTACCTAAACTTTTACGTTTTGTGAAAACAATCATTTTTTTACTTTGGACAACATAGTCCTGTGAAACACACATGGAAATGTATGGAAATATTCAGCCGATAATAGTTTGAAAGGACTTTTGTACAATGTCGGGATATTATTCATGAACCATACATATATATATATATATATATATACATATACAACACCAAGGGCACTGCAATAATAATAATGAAGAAATTTATAAGGCACCTGTTTCCACACACTTGTGCATGCTCAAAGCGCTAACACCTTATTACCCTGATAACCCAAGCTGCCTGTTAGGTGCTAGAAGGTTATAGTCACATGACATCCTTCTGGGTACCAATTTTCTGCTGGTTGGGTAGATGCAATTTTGAACAAACTCACTTGCCTAAGGTGAGACTACACTGATAACATGTGGTGCTTCGTTGTGAGGCAGGACTGAAGTCCTAGAAACTCTCAGGAGACAAGCTGCCAAACAGGGTCACCCATCCAAGGACTGCCCATTGTTGCTTAACTTCCAACTGATTGTGACCTGAGCTTTATGCCTCCTGAGCTCACCACTTCCTATAATCTAAACTTCAAGAATTAACCATTGTGGAAGTCCAGTGTTGACCTTGGAAACAGTCATTATGTTCTGTTAAAAAAAGATTATTTTAAAATGCTACATACAAAGTAGACCTATATAACAAACAATTATGCATATATTCTCAATATTCTGTGCGGCAGTCTTTCCATACTTTTTTCCAGATGTGTTAAATTGTGTGAATGCGTTGGACACACACACACACACACACAGACATACAAAGACACACACAAGAGAGCCTGCATTACAATGAAGAAAATTAGCCGTAAAATTAATATTAAGATTCACTTTCATGGTTGATGCTGTGTTATGGAATCAATGATCATGATATCAATCACTGGATTGTCTGGTCCAGACTTGATTGCTTACATACTGCTGTCAGTAGCCGGAATAATGCCGAATGTGGAGTTAACAACAATCAAAAACTACCTCCTGGGAAAACAGTAGTGTGTATAGTATAGAACACTGGATTTTGGGTGAGTCACATTCACATTTAAATGTGTTCAAAATGTTGCCAAGTATTGTCACGAAATGAAACACAAAAAACAATAATACAAGTCAACAGACAACATATTAATTTAAGGCTGTCTGCCTAACTTGCGTAGACCGAAGTAAGTTTCTGAAAACCAAATGAATTGAAGGCACTTGTCCCCAACAGAACAGATGTAAGAATACATCGCTATTGTACTGCATTAAAGATGCTCCACTGACGCATTTCAAAAGCGGTAACATCTTTATAACCCCCTTCAAGGGATCAGTGTGCATTAGATTTTCTTTCTCTGCTCCCTGGGGAGTATACACCTCACGCTGCTTGACAGACGCATCACAGTTAACAGATAATGCTGTCAAACATAATGTGAGTGGACAAGGGATTCGAATCAACAATCTTGTCATATTCTCATGTTGTAGATATTGTTTGTTGTTCATAGCAATTCGACCCGTGGAGATCTGGGTTAGAATTGATCTTGAGTAACCCATGCTTGTGGTAAGAGGCGACTAACGGGATCGGGTGGTCAGGCTTGCTGACTTAGTTGAAAAATGTCATCGTATCCCAGTTGTGTAGATCGATGCTTATGTTGTTGATCACTTGATCGTCTGGTCCAGACTCTATTATTTACCGACTGCCGCCATATAGCTGTAACATTGCTGTAATATATAGCTGTAACATTGCTGTAATATATAGCTGTAACATTGCTGTAATATATAGCTGTAACATTGCTGTAATATATAGCTGTAACATTGCTGTAATATATAGCTGTAATATTGCTGTAATATATAGCTGTAACATTGCTGTAATATATAGCTGTAATACATAGATGTAACATTGCTGTAATATATAGCTGTAACATTGCTGTAATATATAGCTGTAACATTGCTGTAATATATAGCTGTAATATTGCTTAAAACTAAACTCACTCATAGTATTTCACAACATTCCAGGGCTATCACAACGGCTTTGGGTTAACATAATATAGCCTATGAAGTGTGTTATTGAGCAAATACTTTATATTGAGGTTTGGATTATAAGCTTAGTGCCACGCGACATGCAGCCGACAAAGTATCACCAGCGACATTCCAATCTCAGAGCAGAAGCTCAATTCACTACATTACGACCTGTCCAGAATGGCCGCGATTGGTTCCAACCTGGTGCTACAGCCCCTTTGGTTCCCCAGACAGTAAGCCCATGTGTGTGGTCCTTGATGTTGGCGCACGTCTGTTTGTTGGTACGTGTTGATTACCAAGCTGCGACTAAAACCTTAACCGTGAATCAGCCCGTTACAAAACTCGGTGAGATTCCAACAAACAACACAAATGTTCTGTTATTAACAATTGTATTCTAAAATTTCCTAAGTTGACAAATCAATACAAATCACTTAGAGTGTATTACTATGGCAGTACAATGTAGAGTGGCAGTACAAGGTCAAGGCTAAGATAATACAACACCTGTGTTTTAGCGATGAAGACAATGATGGTACAATTCACCTCCCAGCAACAGTAATCAAACTTACTAGAAAGGGCAGAGAGTGTCCGAGATATACCAGGAATTCTCGTACCCGGGCTTAAATACGGACAATCTCTGTTCTAGTGATGACATATTTTACCCACATTTAAGCCCGGGACTTGAATTCGAAAATGCGCAATATGTTGATAAAATAAAAAGAACTGTTTTTAAAAAAAACCTCTTTTATCAGGAAACCGGTCTATAAATTCAAAATTGAATGACCACACGGTTCAATTTAACTGCAACTGCATGCACATCAATAGGGGTTAACATGATCAATTTCTGTCTCTAATAACTTACCTGTAAGGTGTCCAAAAAGTTCTGTAAACGTGATAACCAGGCAGAGACACTACTAATGTTAAAAACGTCGAGATTCGCCATGCGTCTGGAAAGGGACATCACTCTAAACACCCAAGAATCAAATCCAAATTTAAGCCCATGGGCTTAAATACGGGAAAAAATCCCATATTTTAGATCATGGGCTAAATTTCGCGTGGGCCTAAATGCGGGAAATCCAACTTGAAGTAATGTCCACTACAACGGCGGTCTTCTTATGGCATATGTGTGTAATGTGGGAGGACGGGCAACAGCAAGCCTCCTTTATATAGGCAAGTGCAAGATGCTGGAATATTCTACAATACTCTCTGAGTTGATTCTGGTTTAGGCTCTTTGTAGTATATTTTCCAGATCATTCTGACTAAATCAAGTACAAGTCTAAAGATAACACACACCCTTACTGAATCTACAGGTACAATGTACAACAGTTGAAACATTGTGGAACATCCTATAACACTGTCGCATAACACCTATTTTGTTGCCAGCGTAACAAGTATACACATGGAACATAATGAGTAATATTTTTTATTCAAACGGATTACCAAATTTTGAATCAACTTTACTATATTTTTATGACACCAGTAAGTATCTCAGAAAGGAAATAGATCAAAATCAGTGTTATGTCCTCTAGGGATATGGTCTCAGATCTAATAAAACAAAGATTATCATTGTTTAATTAAGAAGCAATAATTGTATTGACAGAAGGCTTTGAACACAGGATATATTCTTTGCACCTTATTTACACTAGTAGTTAGCAGTTAAACATCTCTGATGAAAAAACAATAGATCTACATTTGTATTTTGTGTAACATTCTATTTCAATGCTAGTTAATTGTTCCAATAACTGTGGATTCTCTGTTCCACATGTTTCCTATTTCTGGAAGATGGGTCAGCTAGTGTACAGGTGCAGACTGTATCTTGGATCTTCTTTTGTGTTCTGGTGCTGTGACATACCTGTACATAAACGCTGGCAGTTCATGAAGTCCAGTATTGTGGAAGTTTGTATGTAAATTAGAATTCCACAACAATGTACATATAGAAAAATTAAATGGAAATGATGATTAAAAATGATTTCCTTATATTCAGTGTCATTTTATCATGGTGTACAGAGAGAAAACTCTACTGAGAGTTGCTGCAGATCAGCTGTTGAATAGTTGCTTCTGGGTATGTCCAGATACGTCCATGGAAACATATTGTTTACAAGCCCAATTACCTTTTCAGATTTCCAAATAAGATCAAAAAAGGTTATGCTGTGATTGATTTGTTAACATTAATTGTACAGACAAATATAAGGTGCATGAAGTAGTAGACGGGAAATATTTTTCTGCTTTTATTTACCATTCTCTTAATTCATTAAAAGATAGAAACCCATGTTTTCAGATTATTGAACTAAACTTGAAAAACACAAACGGATAAGTAAAGGCGCCACGCGCAGTGTTGATAATCTATTTATAGATACCGAAAAGATGTGCTAGATGACCATGTGGTTGTGTTCACGAGTTTTAAAAAATTATAAACCCAAACAACAAAATTCAGTTATCCTTTCCCTGCTAATATCTGTGACGGAGGTGAATTGCCAGATAGATTAATTGAGTCGAAAGAAATTACGCTTCCTACAGTCTCAGCAGCTAGTCGAGACGCTTTTCAGCGGGCATGTAACTCATACTCGCCAGTTGTAATCTGCCAGCTAAAATATATTAAAGATCACATACGTATAACTTGCCTCTTTAAATAACATTCACAAACGACGGATACCAAAGTATCACAAGCAGAATTCATCAACAACGTTCGCAATCACGTAACGTTTCGCCGGCGGTGACGCCATTGTGATTTGCCAGTGGTTGTCCCCTAACGTCAAAACGAAGTGGGCGGGGCTTATCGGCCGAGACTGGATCGGTCTATATTAGGATCGGTATCCTCCCAAAACTTCCACAGCTTAAAACATTTCTGGTTGACTGCACACACTTTAGCATACTTATTACCTCAGTCTGTAATGGTTTATCCATTAATCAGTAATGAATACAAACAATCACTTAGTAATATATTAGCACAAATACATATCTTTTCTGGTTAGATATAACAGTTTATGTACAACATTTATATAGAATTTGTGTCGTATAGTGTCTTAAGATTTCACCCGCACATTTGACAGTCATAACCCTGTCACTCTGTCATGTGCTGAGGCAACTCAGGGAATACCGTCACAATGTCACTGCCGTGACATGCAGTCTTTACCTGTGTATTACATGACAGGCACACCCATAAGTAAATGCTTTGCCTATTACATATTCTTCAAACATTCTGAAACATCTGACTGACAAATTTCATTAAAGCTTATCTTTTAAAGTAAACATATAAAACTGGCAATTATTTAAAATGTCAATACCGTTATTGTGTCACTACCATAACAATTAATGCCAATGTCCATAGATTACCATAGCATTATCAATTTCCTTATTTAATTAAAATTGATTTATGTGTTCATGTCTGGAATTTGTAGTGCAAGTATGTTTGGTAGTAGAGCTTCAAGTAAGCATAATACAATTCATATTCTCATTTTTAACTTTTTGATACATATAACTGTATATTTGCAAATCAGAATTGAAAGGAATTGTTTTGCTTGTTGGCCCCTTTTAAGCAATAAATATACAATTTCAAAACCCATTAGCCATGTTATATTGTAAAACTACATATTTTAATATACATGTACATTAAATGTACGTTAAGCTTGCATAATTTATGTTTTGTATATTCAGATTCTCTACAACATTTCAAGGTAAAACAAGAAAACAAAATTTACAATTTTTGCCTACATGAAATATGCAGAAATTTAAAATATATATATTTTAGATTTATTAAATAACTGCTCCCGTCTCTACTACAATCTCTACTCTGCTAAGTCAGGTGAAGTATCATTATCTGTTGTTTCAGTCCAGTGCTCTTCCTGGGCTATCCTATTACCTAAAAAGGGGTGATTAGGAGTTGTTGTTTTAACAATGTGTGGTAGTATTGGGATGTGAAAGTTTTTGGATGTGAAAGTTTAATATAGTCCGTCATGAGCTATCGATGATGATGACATGTCAATGATGATGCCATTGTTTAGTAGCACATCTCAGGTAATGAAAACCTGCATGCAACGTCTACAGTGGTGTTTTGCTCGACGAAAGCAGGTTCCTGCCTCATGTTTTGGATGGTCGTCTGAGAGCTGTGTGTCGTACATTCAACCTGCTGTTCCCTTTCATGGAGGCTCGGTTATGGTGTGGGGCTGTGTCTCCCACCCATGACTGCAAATTGACATTGGTGATTGGGAAATCGTAATTGCCAGTGCTACGTCACTGACGTTCATGATCACGTTGTTGTGCGTCAGTTTGATAACCACCCACCATTGGCTACCCGCCCAATATTCTTGGACATTAATGCCTTCCACATCGCCCCGTGCTGTGGGAGAGATTTGCGGGATATATACTCTTAAAAAAGCAACAACTTGACATGAGAACAATTAAATTTTAGAAAAATATTTGACACAAACCAATCCATGAATCCCAAAATGCGGAGGAATGGTTGCCGACGACATAATGTTTAAAAAAAGCAACGTGGAACAAAAACGTAACGTTACACTCACGTTTGTAGTCAATCGCTACGCCGCACCCTACATGGAACGCAAGTGCATGATGAAATTGTGTACCCGATACAACAATCCTGGGAGTGTTGATGACAGAGCCAGGTCAGGTCGACCTAGAGTTACCACCGCCGCCTAGAATCGCTACACCCGGTTCAGACATCTTCGTTCACGTAATCCGCCACCTCAGACACTACAGGAACTGCACGCAGCACTTCAAGAGTAGCAAAACATTTCTCAAGACAACATTCGGCATCTCCTTTCTGCTATGGGTCGTCGCCGCCAAGCTGTTATCGATGCTCATGGTGGTCACACCAGATACTGACATTTTACTCTGACCAAGTGGATATAGCCCTCTGTGGTTTTACTGAACACTTCTAGATAATCATGTTTTGGAAATTTGTAAAGTGATGATTTTACTGTAATTGAGCAATGATGCCATGTTTGAATCAGTTATATGCACTCTGTATATAAACTCCAAAACAGAATGACAAGTTTCCTTTTTTGAAGAGCATATATTGAGACTCTCCCTTGGCCTGCAACTGATCTGAACCCCATCGAGCCCATTCTTGGTCGTGGTTTGCAGGCAAGGGTCCCTCCTGTACAAAATGTGGGTGAATTGGGGACAGTATTGCATCAGCCGGAGTGCATCTAACATATGCCGTGCCCTTAAACTTACAATGGTTGCACTTAAGACCATTGTAGGTTAAGAGCACAACACACGCACGCACGCACACACACAACACGCACGCTAAATACATTATCGGGAAAGATTTCCGCCCGTAACCCCCGTTTTATTATCGTTCTATTCCTAAGATCAGAGACCATATAATATATTATATATAAACGTTACGTTTTTGTTCCACGTTGCTTTTTTTAAACATTATGTCGTCGGCAACCATTCCTCCGCATTTTGGGATTCATGGATTGGTTTGTGTCAAATATTTTTCTAAAATTTAATTGTTCTCATGTCAAGTTGTTGCTTTTTTAAGAGTATATATCCCGCAAATCTCTCCCACAGCACGGGGCGATGTGGAAGGCATTAATGTCCAAGAATATTGGGCGGGTAGCCAATGGTGGGTGGTTATCAAACTGACGCACAACAACGTGATCATGAACGTCAGTGACGTAGCACTGGCAATTACGATTTCCCAATCACCAATGTCAATTTGCAGTCATGGGTGGGAGACACAGCCCCACACCATAATCGAGCCTCCATGAAAGGGAACAGCAGGTTGAATGTACGACACACAGCTCTCAGACGACCATCCAAAACATGAGGCAGGAACCTGCTTTCGTCGAGCAAAACACCACTGTAGACGTTGCATGCAGGTTTTCATTACCTGAGATGTGCTACTAAACAATGGCATCATCATTGACATGTCATCATCATCGATAGCTCATGACGGACTATATTAAACTTTCACATCCAAAAACTTTCACATCCCAATACTACCACACATTGTTAAAACAACAACTCCTAATCACCCCTTTTTAGGTAATAGGATAGCCCAGGAAGAGCACTGGACTGAAACAACAGATAATGATACTTCACCTGACTTAGCAGAGTAGAGATTGTAGTAGAGACGGGAGCAGTTATTTAATAAATCTAAAATATATATATTTTAAATTTCTGCATATTTCATGTAGGCAAAAATTGTAAATTTTGTTTTCTTGTTTTACCTTGAAATGTTGTACGTTCATAGTAATCTGAATATACAAAACATAAATTATGCAAGCTTAACGTACATTTAATGTACATGTATATTAAAATATGTAGTTTTACAATATAACATGGCTAATGGGTTTTGAAATTGTATATTTATTGCTTAAAAGGGGCCATATAATATATTATATATATATTATATATATTATATCTATTATATGGTCTCTGCTAAGATTTATAGTAAGAATAGATGTTTTTTATAGAAAGCCTATCCTAACCCTAACCCAAAACCTAGCTAACATAATGCCGAATCTAAACCCTAAACCTAAACCCTAACCCCTTGAAATAATCATAATAAATAGATTTTATATAAATACTTTTTAAGCGGGGGTTACGGGCGGAACTCTTACCCATTATCGCTGCACCAAGGTATATGATAACGGCCTGTTTATCGTGTCCAACCTGTCACACGTGATCAAGCTGTCAGCCAACAGGATGTGGTGGGGTTTCCTGTCATCTATTTATAGCAACATTTATGCGGAAATGTTGCTTTTCGGAGAAGACAATTTCAAGGAACACTTCATCTAAGCGTAATATTCAGGAGATCCGTGGAGACAGCAGAGGTGAGTATGTATGCGTCTGTATTTTTACACAGATTAATAGAGGAGTCCATTTTTACAAGTTTGGGGCAAGTTTCACATAACAGGGTAACAACTATAACTCACCAGTGTATACATGGTGCATACAAGTTTAAGTTCTTGCACGCACACACACACACACACACACACACACACACACACACACACACACACACACACACACACACACACACACACTCTCTCTCTCTCTCTCTCAATCACACACGAGTGTGTGTGTGAGAGAGAGAGAGAGAGAGTGTGTGTGTGTGTGATAGAGAGAGTGAGATTCGAACTATGGTCATGCTGAACTAAAATTGGTGGCCCCTAAGAGTTTTAAAATCCAGTTTTAGATGTATGGTCTTCAGTGTATGAAATAAGCATCAGGGGTGCATGGTAGTTTCAAAATGTTACCAGCCCAAAGTGGATTTAACCAGACCAGACAATCCAAGAAAATAACTCAAATTTTAGTTACAATGAATAATTCAATGAACCTAAGGCATGTATTTACCGTCAACAGTCTATTTACAACAGTCCATTAATCCGAGTTGTAGTCAGAGTCGAAGGGGCACAGAATAACTACATACCATCACCTGCATCTGCTTAATGGATTTGCCCAACAGAAAACAAACAAATTATATATCATTCATTCATTCATTCATTTGCCACTCATTTACACCCATCTTTCACACCCACATTAAAAATCCAAACACAAAATTATGTAGATAATAGAGATATAGATATATTGATAGTTCATCTATAGATAGGCTTAAATATTTAGTGTGATAGCTTAGCATCACTTTCATCCTCAGTGTTCAATCTGATTCATGTAGAACTAGTTTAGCCCAGCTTCAATAAGTAGCCAACTGCATCGAGCTACTTGATTGCAGTCTTCTGTCCCCTCTGATTCTCAGTAGAAACGCTTCTGTGTAGGGGGTGCAGCTCCTAGGCTGATCTGGGCAACCGTCAAGAAGCACCTGAGGTTTACCCTTCTGACTAAAGACAAAGTCAGCTTTCCTAAGCTCAGCCATGACGGTATTAAATTTGAGTTAGTTATTTGCTATGTTTAGCGTCGCACACGCAACTAGGGTGTTTCAGCGACGGGGTAGTACACTTATTAAGAAATGAGGGGGAACATAAAATAGAAATTTAGTAAGAGTGGTGTTACTACGAAACAAACACACCAAAAACTGAGTATTAAGGGAATTTTAAATGGGAGGTCGAATTAAAGAGGTAAAAAATATGAAATAGGTAAAGAGTAATAGAGATTTGGAATTTAATATAGATGTAGTATAATAAATGGTTTATGTTATTGTTATTGTTTAAAAACATATTCATTAAGTGAATAATGATGAACATATAAAAGGTTAAAAGATGAAGTTGATAAAAAGAACTAAGAGAGAATTAAATTTGACCACTGCATTATGTCAAACATATAAGAATAAAACAATACTTGTTTAACTTAATAACTCATTCGTTTATATTTCACCTTAACTCAAATATACTAAACTTGGCTTGTTTTTCTTCTATCATATCTGGTGCCCCCCGCCGTGATATTGCTGGAATATTGCTAAAAGCGGCGTAAAACCAAACTCAGTCAGTCAGTTCTATCATATGAATACAAGAACATTCACTAACTACTGGTCAGTTAGACTGTATCAAGCTACTCTACACTTGTGATTTTAAGCATGTAGTTCTTCTGGGAGAGCTGATGGGCTGTGCTCATTACATGCCATGGGGGTGCCTCTACTCAGATAATTAATCCCTAATTAATCCCTGTAGTTCAAATTGGATGTAGTTCCAATGGGAGTAAACCCATATTCAATTTGCCAATGTATGCATGCTCAAATAGTTCACTAATTCATGCATATATATATTTTGCCGATGTATGCATGCTTATATAATTCACTGATGAATGCGTACATATACAGTTTGCCAATGTATGCATGCTTATATAATTCACTAATGAATGCATACATATATAATTTGCTAATGTATGCATGCATGCTTATATAATTCACTGATGAATGCATATATATATAATTTGCCGAGGTATGCATGCATGCTTATATGATTCACTAATGTATGTGTACATATACAATTTGCCAATGTATGCATGCTTATATAATTCACTGATGAATGCGTACATATATAATTTGCCGATGTATGCATGCTGATATAATTCACTAATGTACAGTACAACCAGAAATTATTGAGAATTTAAAGATTGTAATTTTTTTTTTTTTTTTCACTCATTACTCGCGTATTAAATGTGAATATTAGTAGAACATAACTCCAGATTCAAAGACAGGTGAACAGTTGGTATTTTGTCAAGTCACCATGGGCAGCAATGCAGGCTTCAATGCGGCGGGGCATACTACTGATCAAAGAAGTTAGAAAGTCGTGGTCCATGCTGTCCCAATATTGGACCACCTCTTCTTTCATTTCAGCAATATTTGTCAGTATTTTCTTATTGACACTTTCCTTCATAAGTCCCCAAACATTTTCTATTGGATTTAGGTCAGGGCTATAGCTTGGCCAATCTAATAATGTCATATTTTGGGTCCGAAACCAGGCCTGTGAATGCTTTGAACGATGTTTTGGGTCGTTATCCTGCTGGAAAATCCAAACATTTCCATAGAACACGTGATCAGATGGAAGTAAATGTCCCTCGAGAATATCTGTGTACCGCTCACTGTTCATATTTCCTTCAAATACACAGAGGGGCATTGCCCCTAACACAGATATGCCACCCCACACATTAAATTTCGGACTGTATATTGGGCGCTGATACAAAGGTTTTTCAGTTTGTTTGGTCCAGAATTTCAGTATATTAGGAAACAGCCACACAGAACTTTCATCTGAGAATTGAAAACACATTGTCCCAGTTACAATTTCTATGCTTTAAGCACCAGTTCAACCTTCGCTCCTTTTGTTCAGGTTTCATGATCGGTGATGGAATTCCTCGACTTTTCTGCCAACCCATTGCAGCTCAGTTCTAATTGTCTCCTTACAGACAGCCACAGTTCCTCTATCAATCATATCCAGCCTTAAGTTTTCTAAACTCCATCGTTTGTTTTTAGAAACAAGAATACCAAGCCGCCTCCTGTCATCGACAGTCAATTTTCTGGGCCTACCTGCGCCTCCCTGGTGCTCAATGCCATATCCATTTGCAATATTTTTCAAAACACGATAAACAGTGGACAAAGGGATGCCTGTTTTACTTGAAATCACTTTAGCTGATCTGATGTCCTTGTTATAATACTCTGAAATCAACTTCCTCTTCTCTAAATCATCCATACTGAGGATCATTGAAAACGTCGTCTGCTAGCAAGTAAACAAAGGGGGGATAACTCTTCACAAACTAATGAAAAAGGATTAACGGAGTTGTCTCTCTTGAATTAAACCAAGCACTTGATAGCTGGTCACGGTTGTTTATACTAGAAATCCAATTAAACATATTCCTAAAATTCTCAATAATTTCTGGTCATACTATGAAACTCTTCGTCCAGCACCCGCAGCCGCCCTACGCACGAGCCACCATAAAGGTTCACAAAGACCCCATCAAAGCACGCCTCCTCTTCTTCTCCAGGAACACAGTCCACTATAACACTGCCCAGCACCTGTCCCGACTCCTCGCCCCCCTAGGGAAGACAGCCAAGTCTTTCAGATAAGCAACATCCAGGAACCCGGGCAAGCTGCTTAGCTATGCCGTTGTAGATTTATTCACTAATGTCCCTCGTGAAGTAGCTCTTACCATCATCAAATCCAGAGTTGAAGAAGTGCACTCCACTCTTGACACCCACCTTTCCCCTGACAGCATAATAGAACGTCCTTCTCCAACACCTGAATGCCCGACATCCCCTTATGCAGTTCACCATGGAATCAGAAGCTGACAACAAACTCCCCTTCCTAGATGTCCTGGTCCAGAGAGAAGGAAACAGGCTCAACACCAGCGTGTACCGCAAGCCAACCCACACTGATCAACTAGCCAACTGACTCCAATGTTGGAGAAACATCAAGGCCACTCACCCTCAGGATCAAGGAACACCAGGCTTCAGTTAGGAAAAATGATTCTAAATCAGCCATTGCCGACCACATCAAAGCCCATCCTAACCACACCATCAAATGGGACAAGACCAAAACCATAAAAGACCAGTCAGACTACAAAATTTGTAAACTTTTGGAAGCAGTATACATCAAGAAGATAGGACCCGCCCTCAACAGAGATGAAGGATACTACATTCCCAATGCCTACCATCACTTGATAAAGTAATCAACAATACTTCTTGTGTACATTACATGTTTCATTCCAACTATGTACATCAACCCCATCCATGGTATAAACATCCACCTGGCTTCCTATCAGTTGTATAAGCTCTAATTCAGTCCTTGTATGTCACCCTACTGGTTTCCTATCAATTTACTCAATCTCTCACACAAACGTTGTACATCAACCTCATCTATTGTATAAACAACTCATTCCCTATCTACTGTAACAACAACTCTCTATATATTCTCTCAATTTGTTACTCATGTATCACTTGCTTGACGACGACATTAGAACGTATGTCGAAACGTTGCCTCCACAGAATAAAAGAAGTTGTATATCCATAATAATTGTCATTATTCTTCAGCTATGTGGAGTCAACATAGCCTAAACACTGTTGGCAAAACTTCTTCAAAGCAGTTTCCAAACATATGTACTCACAATCTTAATGAAGATTACAAACCTACAAATCTAATACATGTACTCAAATATCCTGGCTCCAGTTGATTGTGAAGTAACTCTTATTTTTCAAGGTCAGATCAAGATAAAAAAAACAACATGGCAGAAAAAGAAATTCTGGACATCTTCAAGCTAGAAACAATTCAAGATGGTGGTGAGTGCAACAGTTAATGTTATTATCTATAGAACATGCCAGTTTACATTTAAGGAGTATTTTCTTCTGCCTTGATACCCGTGAAGATCCGGGTTAGAATTGATCTTCACTAACCAATGCTTGTTATAAGAGGCAACTAACGGGATCGGGTGGTCAGGCTCATTGACTTGGTTGACACATGTCATCATATCCCAAAGTGACTTGTCAGTTCTTTCCTCTAGTCTATCTGGAGGTTGAACATCAAATTATACATGTACTCTCATCAAACAGAGGTATTACTTTAGTTCTTGTAACTGATTTTCGATACAGTACAGTATCATTATGAGTGAGTGAGTTGGGATCAATACTGCTTTTTACAGTAGTCCAGTTAACCAATGGTATGTAAGTTGAATGTGGGAGGTAAGCCCAAATGATGCAGACGTACGGTAACCTGCCAGTAGTGTCTCCCACTGTCCAATGTAGCCAGTGTAGTATGTCTGTGTGATGATGGAAGTGTTATATTTGATATCCCCAAATACAGGTGAGATTCTGTATGTCTGTCTGTCTAAAGATGGAAGTGATATTGTCGATATCCTGAGAGACAGGTGATATTCTATATGTCTCATGATTAAATGTTTATGTTTGGCATCCTGAGATTGTATCTCCATCTGGTTGAGAAGATGAGCAGAATCACTGAAACTAATATTTGCTTGTCACCTGAAACTGAATTTTGGAATTTCCAGAGCTTCTCCGGCAGGTCTATGGGGAGGCTAGTGAAGGCACATCTCAAGACAGGAATCTTCAAACTTGGCTGTCACTGTTGCCTAGCAATATCTCTGATATGATCCAGTTAGCACTACATCAGGAGCGACCATTTCTTCCACCAGATGTCACCCCTGAAATGATGGCTGAAACCAATGACACTCTACCACGCATGAACCATATTGAGATTCTCTATGTAAGAAATTGGATTTCTTTTCAAAAAGTTTCTCCAATTCATTTTTTATTCAAACATCCTTACGTCTATTTGACACGAACAGAATATGTTATGTTATATTCTGTCATAGATTTTAAAACTGTCCTCTGTAACTAAGAGGCAAATGATGATGAAACTGGATAATCCCAGTACATTATTAGTTAAAGGGCCTTACAGTCCCACCCACTTTCATTTCTACCATTGATTAATTGCTATCGGAGACTCAACAATTGCAATCCATTGATAGTTCGATGTATCGTTACAGTCCTACCGCCCACCCTTTCAAAACACTGTGTAACAAATGTATTACTCTTATGATCTCTTTATTTAGCTTATCTTAAAAAAACAACATTCAATAGAAAATAACAAAAACGACAAACTTTATATTGTATGTTTAATCAAACAGTCAACAGTCACATAAAGGGAGATAGCTCATGATGGCTTAGTTTATGATAAAATGATCGAATTCTCCTTTTTTTTGTTAAACAATAACTGAAATACAGAAACATTTTCCTTTTTTTATATTTTTATTGAAGCAAACAAATAAGAAATTATGGCAACAATTTTATTACTTTGTTTATACTCATAATTGTATATGCCAACTCTAAAATTCTGAAGCGATAAGCTGTTTGGCGGCCACATTCTGTCTAAGGTCAAGGTCGTTTGTACACCCAATGTAGTGTGTCAAGTGACAGATTCGTACAGTTCGTACACCCTGGCTAATCTGCCTACATGATTTTGTATGCAATGGTTATTGACCAATCAGAATTCAACAAATTTATCTTAAGGGTAATAAAATCCCATACATACATTTGTCTTGAACATGGTAACTACAGAATCCATATTGAATATGTGTTTGTTTAGAGATGCATAGCAAAGGCAGCAGGAGCAGATGACTTGGTGACCATGGCAGCACTCATCTATGTGGTAGACAGAGCTGCATACAGGTTTGGGGCCTCCAGGGCCCTGCTGCGAGTGTTGGACATCCTCCTGGACGGAGGGCCCCACACGCCAGTGGCGCCACAAGTCATCATCAGGAAGGCTCGGGTCATGAAAGATGATGGTGACCTTCACGGAGCTGTCCGTGTCCTGGATGCTGTCATAACAAGGGGTAAAGTGGATTCACTCGTGTACATACTTCATGATTCATCTGACATCATTATATTAAAGCTCTCTTGTTTTTTTAGTGAGCATTTGTGACCTTCAAGATGATATACTAGTCTCTCCTGTTGTTGTTTTCTAAAATCTGTAAAACTGTAAACATGATGTAATGGTCTCTCGTTTCCAAATATGCTATTCACACTTTGCTAAGGATCAAATCATGGATTCAACAGAAAACTATGATGTGGGTTCAAATTGGATTTAAATATCTAAGCTTATTGTAAGCATGGATCCTAGGTTTCGGTGTGTCTTTTCATCTTGTGGATCCAATACCTGCTATTGACAGGTGTTGTGTACTTGTCAATGACTCTTTCCATGATTTGCGAAATGGTTGATTGGTGCCATGAAAACCATTTTTATGGTTACTCATGTATCAAGTGCATAAGGTTAGATTAAAGTGACTGTTTGCCTAGAGAGGGCTTACCATGTTATTATTTAAACAGTTTTATATGGATACAATTTCAAATTATGAATCTACATTTAAGTAAAGTTGTGGATTTTTGTGATCCTTAGCAAATTGTGATCAGTAGTATACTATGTGGGACTACAAAGATGATGTATTGGTTTCTTGTCTTCCAGAAAGTGTGGGACTACAAAGATGATGAAATGGTTTCTTGTCTTCCAGAAAGTGTGGGACTTTAAAGATGATGATATGGTTTCTTGTCTTCCAGAAAGTGTGGGACTACAAAGATGATGAAATGGTTTCTTGTCTTCCAGAAAGTGTGGGACTTTAAAGATGATGAAATGGTTTCTTGTCTTCCAGAAAGTGTGGGACTTTAAAGATGATGAAATGGTTTCTTGTCTTCCAGAAAGTGTGGGACTTTAAAGATGATGAAATGGTTTCTGTCTGTCTGTCCTTTAGAAAGTGTGTCTTCCAGGTGTCTACTTTAAAGATGATGAAATGGTTTCTTGTCTTCCAGAAAGTGTGGGACTTTAAAGATGATGAAATGGTTTCTTAGATGAAATTTCCAAAAGTGATGATGAAATGGTTTCTTGTCTTCCAGAAAGTGTGGGACTTTAAAGATGATGAATTGGTTTCTTGTCTTCCAGAAAGTGTGGGACTACAAAGATGATGAAATGGTTTCTTGTCTTCCAGAAAGTGTGGGACTTTAAAGATGATGAAATGGTTTCTTGTCTTCCAGAAAGTGTGGGACTACAAAGATGATGAAATGGTTTCTTGTCTTCCAGAAAGTGTGGGACTTTAAAGATGATGAAATGGTTTCTTGTCTTCCAGAAAGTGTGTGGGTCTACAAAGATGATGAATTGGTTTCTTGTCTTCCAGAAAGTGTGGGACTACAAAGATGATGTATTGGTTTCTTGTCTTCCAGAAAGTGTGGGACTACAAAGATGATGTATTGGTTTCTTGTCTTCCAGAAAGTGTGGGACTACAAAGATGATGTATTGGTTTCTTTTCTTCCAGAAAGTGTGTGGGACTACAAAGATGATGAATTGGTTTCTTGTCTTCCAGAAAGTGTGTGGGACTTTAAAGATGATGAATTGGTTTCTTGTCTTCCAGAAAGTGTGTGGGACTACAAAGATGATGAATTGGTTTCTTGTCTTCCAGAAAGTGTGGGACTACAAAGATGATGAATTGGTTTCTTGTCTTCCAGAAAGTGTGTGGGACTACAAAGATGATGAATTGGTTTCTTGTCTTCCAGAAAGTGTGGGACTACAAAGATGATGAATTGGTTTCTTGTCTTCCAGAAAGTGTGGGACTACAAAGATGATGAATTGGTTTCTTGTCTTCCAGAAAGTGTGTGGGACTACAAAGATGATGAATTGGTTTCTTGTCTTGTGGGACCACTAAAGATGAATTGTTTCTTGTCTTCCAGAAAGTGTGGGATGGTGGTTCTTGTCTTCAAAGTGTGGGACTAAAGATGATGAATTGGTTTCTACAAAGGTGATGAATTGGTTTGGGACTTGTCTTCCAGAAAGTGTGTGGGACTACAAAGGTGATGAATTGGTTTCTTGTCTTCCAGAAAGTGTGTGGGACTACAAAGATGATGACCAATACAACAATGTCAAGGCTGTTTGTGTCCAGATTAAGGGTCATATACTTCACAATCTAGGTATGTTTGTATTTTATTCTTTGATCAATGGTCCACTGAAACTGTCTGATACAGATGATAAGAAAGGTTCTTCAATTCTGACTGGTGTGCATGCAAGGCAGTATTCTTGACCAGGATTTGGGCATCTGATAGGGATCCTGTTTTATCTTGTCTCAGTAGAATGTCTGTGTTAAAGTGTTTGATTTACTGCAGTCCATGCACAAGTAGTGCGATATAGTAAGGGGAATCTACAGCAATGGCTGGGAAACAGGCAGATTGGTAACTTGTGGTAACATGATCTGTTTGATGTTTAACACTACAGCCAGTATTACAGCTATGAGTTGGGAGCCTGTCTGTCATTGAGAGGATGTGGTGCCATGTCACTAAGCCTCTTACAACAAGCTGGAGTTACTGGGGACCAATTCAAAACCGTAATTCACATGACATATACAATTTGGCACAACATTTCAATTCAGATCAAGTTTTTGTTTGATAAACAAGTAACACACATGAATTGTTTTTGAAATATTAGTAACGTAAAAAATGGAAGAATTGTTCTTAAAAATAACATGCATGATAATAGATATACCTTGAGGTCCCTAGTTTGTTTTTACTGTGTTTAGGAATGTGGAAAGATGCTATTGAGCCTTTGGTAGAATCGGTTGATTCCTTCAACAAGATCCATGATGACAAGGGAACATCCTCCTCCCTTGGACTTCTCACCAAATGCCTGAAAAGGCTTACTGTGGCTGACTACAACGAAATGAAACAAAAGTACCCTGCACTCTTCTCCCAGTCTCATCCCTGCTACGAGGCATATTTAAAGGGAATGGATGCTGTCAAATACATTAAAGATCTGGGACAGACTCTCTACATTGCCAAACATCAAGTGAGTGATGAAGACATGAGCTGAAGCTAGATATTTAATCCAAGGACTTAATGTCTCAGCACTCTGATAGAATAGGTTCTGTGGGGCCAACAGAATCAAGTGATTGCAGATTTTAGGGGACAAATTCAATTACGTTTTCATAGTAAACCTAAAGGTTTGCTTATTCTGGACATGGCAGGTTAGTGATATTCTGTCAGACTTTATTCAAAGTCCATATGTATTTTCACTTTGACATATTTGTTGACTTGTAGCATGTAGCAAGGTTTGATCCTCTCTCTGTGTGCCTTTTAGTTTTTGAGAAGGCACCATTGATTACATCTTACTGACATGTAATTGAGAGATCTTCCAAAGTTTCCAATAGTTATATGTGATGGCAAACTGCCATAAAGTATATTCTAGTTTAGAGGAAGAATGTGAATGATGCAGGAAGTGAATGATGCAGGAAGACAATGTAGGTAAACTGGAAGCATGATTCCAAATATTGTTTGATGGGTTACAGTACTATAAGTACTATAGTACTGTTTACGTTTCTGCCAAACATAACCCAGGTTGTATTGTTTCAGCTTGTTGCTGAGGAATCCTTGCTGATGTTTGCTCTGCAACAGCCACCATCTTTGAGAGAGTTCCAGTGGTTCCAGACCATTGTTGCAGACATTAAGAAAACTCTGACTACCCATGAAACTGTCAGCAATCTCAAAAGTCTGGAAACATACTTTGAGTTTGTGAGAGCCATTTTCCTGATTCATTTGACCTTATATTTTTCTCCCTTTCCACAAGACCGTTCATTATCCAAGTACCTGGAGCAGATCAGTATTGAGCTGTACCGCCATCTTTGTTCCTGTCAGAGCAGACGTCAACTTGTGACAAACTTGGAACATACCAGTAACTCTGTATCATTCATGAATGCATCACTAGGCATTCTGGGATTACCCTCACTACAAGGCACTGATGATGTCTCAATGAATGTGGAACTGTCAGCATCATCATCAGAAGACTCCTTGGACAAAGCAGCAAGGAAAGCTGATTGTTCTAAAGAGTCATCAAAAGCAGAACACATGTCAGACAAAGCAGGTACAGTTCCTGCTGTGGTGAATCCTTTGACACCTGCTTCCAGACAGAATCCTGGCACATTTCCAGGAGCTGTAAAGAGTCAGAACCCCAAAGCTACAGATTTGTACTCAAGGAAGTATATAGGACTAACGGTAGATGCATCTTCATTCTCAACAACATCAGGTTCTTCTAGTCAATCTGAATCAGGGGTCTCTTCCAGCCAAGATGAACACACAGAGGATCCAGAACTTGTAAATCTATCGGTTGTTTCCATAAGTGCAACTGCAGAGAAATTTAGCAACCTTGATCTCAATTCAGACCCAGACATTTCGAGAGTATTTGATGACAAGAATATTGCACCTACTACCCAATCTACCAGTCAGACTTCCACCTCTGCTTCCTCAGATAAATCAGTGACAGACAGCTCAGCCTCAAGGAAGTCCACTTCATCTAGTTCAGGATCAGTAAGCCTGTCCTCTGCTTCCTCCTCTTCTGCTAAAGTATCTGGGGAGTCTGGGTATAGTTTCTCCCCATCTCCCTCACAGCAAAGCTCCAATGGATCTTCCTCCTCTTATGTGGACCTGTCTGCCCCCACAGAGGAGTGGCATAATCTGTCTGAGATCGGTGAGTTATCTCCCCTGGTGGATCTGCGTTCCTCCACAGTAAACAGCTCCCTGGAGAGCCTTCAGTTTGGTCACAGTGTTGAAACCAGGAGTGCTGAGGAGTACCTGGAGCACTGGATGCCGCCAACAGTGGATGAGACTATTAAAGTAAATAGTGAGTTCAATCAAACATGCTTCTATTGTCAGATTAGAAGTATTTAAATCTTAAACCTTACTTATAACTGTTGGCAAAGTAGTTTTGCTTTTCATTGCCAATACTGAGTTTTCTCTTTGCATTGGGACCTTGTCAAGGTTATGCCATTAACTCATAATCCTTTATGTGAATGTTAGTGACCTCCTTAAGAGTTTATTCTAATGCCTCTTACCTATTTACAGCATATGGGCTACAAGCACCATACACATTCTCCCCTCTCATGTACATGGAATCATCCATCATCTGCATGTACACTTAGAGAGTAGTTTGATTCTGCTGAAACAATATATACACTTAAACACAAAGGTATTTTGCTTTTTCTCAAAACTTCCCATTTAGGAAAGGCCAACCACATTTTGATGACCAGATAGCCAGATAGTCCAATACAACTCCCAGTTAGGGTAATACAGCAGTAGAGCAATACCTTAGTTTACACATAATTAGTTTCAAATTGCCTGTGGATTATTGACACATAATGTTGCTGATTATCCCTTTTACTGCAGAATGTGATTACCTACTTTTGTTTTGTGGTGTAACACCCCCATGCTAATGTTCCACTACAGGGGCCCTGCTGCTGACATACAACCCTGTGACAGGAGACTGGCAGTCTCAGAATACACTGGTCCACACGGGACAGGAGCTGGACCTGGGAGGCAACAGAAAGGGCAACTGTCGGGAGGTGTTTGAGGTCTACTTTCTCCATCAGGAGGAACCTCTGGGCAGGTAGGGCAACTGTCAGGAGGTGTTTGAGGTCTACTTTCTCCATCATAAGGGGGGGTGGTGGGGTAGTCTAGTGGTTAGAGCGCCCGCTCGTCACGCCGAAGAACCGGGTTCGAATCCCCACATGGGCACAAATGTGTGAAGCCCATGTCTGGTGTCCCCCGCCGTGATATTGCTGGAACATTGCTAAAAGCGGCGTAAAACCATACTCACTCACTCACTCCATCATGAGGAACCTCTGGGCAGGTAGGGCAACTGTCAGGTGGTGTTTGAAGTCTACTTCTTCCATCAACCTCCCTTCACCTAGCTATTGGTCTGGCTACAGGTAACCTCTGTGCACCTAGCTACTGGTCTGGCTACAGGTAACCTCTGTGCACGTAGCTATTGGTCTGGCTACAGGTAACCTCTGTGCATGTAGCTATTGGTCTGGCTACAGGTAACCTCTGTGCATCTAGCTACTGGTCCGGATACAGGTAACCTCTGTGCACGTAGCTATTGGTCTGGCTACAGGTAACCTCTGTGTGCCTAGCTACTGGTCTGTGGGTCTTGATGCAGGTATGTGTATATCTCTGGCTACAGGTAACCTCTGTGCACCTAGCTACTGGTCTGGCTACAGGTAACCTCTGTGTGCCTAGCTACTGGTCTGGCTGCAGGTAACCTCTGTGTGCCTAGATACTGGTCTGTGGGTCTTGATGCAGGCATGTGCATATCTCTGGCTACAGGTAGCCTCTGTGCACCTAGCTACTGGTCTGGCTACAGGTAACCTCTGTGCACCTAGCTACTTGTCTGTGTGTCTTGATGCAGGTATGTGCATATCTCTGGCTACAGGTATGTCTGCAAGCGGTACCGACAGCAGCGCCCAGCACGGTACTACCAGCAGGATGTGGTGTGTCAGATGATGGCTGGCTACTATGTGACCAGGTTCAATCAAGCCCTCCACAACTACCACAGCAACATCCAGGTGAGCTTCAGTCATTAAGCACAACATGATATTTGTAACAAGACTTGTGGCACCCTCGGCCCAGTTTAACTGTGTGCATGATCTATGTACTTCATTTACAATTATCCTAAATGCACCATGTGCAAGTTCTACTTATTTCTGTTCATTTTCAATCAGGAATGACTTCAAGTGGTTTGTAAATAAATAAAAGTTGAGTGATAAAAATAGACATCTGTATGAATCACTTCTGGATAATGACCTGAAAAATCTTTGCATGCTAATTTTCTGTTAAATGGCACCTAAGTCAAGAACAGTTTGGACTGATGTGAAACATTGAAGTTGTTATGGATACAGGTGCAGTTCCTACCGGCAGCCCATCTTCAGCTCCTGACGCCAGACGATCACTTAGAAGACTGGGTAAACGTGGAGCCATACCTCTACGGAGATTTCATCAAGCTCACCAACAACCTGGACTTCTGCAAGAAGGAGCATCATGGAGAGGAGCTGGCCACAGCCTTGACACACTTCTCATTCTGTGAGTCCCAAGGAATGCTGATGATCGTGGACATCCAGGGCTGGATCCCAAGGGAAGGAAACGGCATCATCTATCTCACTGACCCCCAGTTCCACACAAAGGGGTTCCGCAGGTTTAGCCCTGCAGACAGGCAGGAGGAAGGAATGAAACTGTTTTGGTCCAAGGTGCACCCACAGTGTAACAGTATCTGCTCAACTCTTGGGCTGACCAGACCACAGCAGTAGATGGCCTGCTCTGGTCACTGTGTCACAACATGCCTGTACATTGATCTATATCCATTGTGGGGATGTGCCTGTACATTGATCTATACCCATTGTTAGGATGTGCCTGTACATCGATCTATACCCATTGTTAGGATGTGCCTGTACATTGATCTATACCCATTGTGGGGATGTGCCTGTACATTGATCTATACCCATTGTTAGGATGTGCCTGTACATTGATCTATACCCATTGTGAGGATGTGCCTGTACATTGATCTATACCCATTGTGAGGATGTGCCTGTACATTGATCTATACCCATTGTGAGGATGTGCCTGTACATTGATCTATACCCATTGTTAGGATGTGCCTGTACATTGATCTATACCCATTGTGAGGATGTGCCTGTACATTGATCTATACCCATTGTTAGGATGTGCCTGTACATTGATCTATACCCATTGTGAGGATGTGCCTGTACATTGATCTATACCCATTGTGGGGATGTGCCTGTACATTGATCTATACCCATTGTGGGGATGTGCCTGTACATCGATCTATACCCATTGTGAGGATGTGCCTGTACATTGATCTATATCCATTGTGGGGATGTGCCTGTACATGAATCTATACCCATTGTTAGGATGTGCCTGTACATCGATCTATACCCATTGTGAGGATGTGCCTGTACATTGATCTATACCCATTGTGGGGATGTGCCTGTACATTGATCTATACCCATTGTGAGGATGTGCCTGTACATCGATCTATACCCATTGTGGGGATGTGCCTGTACATTGATCTATACCCATTGTGGGGATGTGCCTGTACATCGATCTATACCCATTGTGGGGATGTGCCTGTACATCGATCTATACCCATTGTGGGGATGTGCCTGTACATCGATCTATACCCATTGTGGGGATGTGCCTGTACATCGATCTATACCCATTGTGGGGATGTGCCTGTACATCGATCTATACCCATTGTGGGGATGTGCCTGTACATTGATCTATACCCATTGTGGGGATGTGCCTGTACATTGATCTATACCCATTGTGGGGATGTGCCTGTACATTGATCTATACCCATTGTGAGGATGTGCCTGTACATCGATCTATACCCATTGTGGGGATGTGCCTGTACATTGATCTATACCCATTGTGAGGATGTGCCTGTACATCGATCTATACCCATTGTGAGGATGTGCCTGTACATCGATCTATACCCATTGTGAAGATGTGCCTGTACATTGATCACCATATACTAAATCAGATTAACAGTATTTTCAAAGGCCTAATTCTCAAAGATTTCATACTTTACATGTGTTCAACACTGAAAGTATCCTATGCATAAAGTAACTTTGAAAGACTCAGCTTCATCTGTGGATGTGCAGCAACTATGATGCCTGGTCCAGTTGGAGCATCAAGTATGTGCTACAGTGAAGCCATTCTTACCCACCATGTGTGTTGGTAGTTTTATCTGGTTTTATTTTGGTTGATTTTGTTGCATTTGATGAACTGTGGGACTTATTTTCTATTATCCATCAGCCATAAAACTGACAGAACCTTATTTGTTTGTAAAGAAGAAAATGCACTGTGACCACTGGGCAGGAATTCTCACAGAAAATACATATATATTTCCACATCCAAATTGTCTGAATCTATTTTATGAAGAATAAGAAACACACTGACTATTTGTACAATGGTATTTATTGAGATCATCCTACTGCTGAAAACTACATTCACCCTAGTGTAGCTATATAAATCTCATCTTGTTTGCAATTTTAACTCATTTCTAATATCCATGGTAACGGTCCTTGGCGCTAGAAAAATACCACTTTATACATATGCAATGTTCATAAAACTCCATTTCCAAATATACAGGTGTCCATGCTAACAGGTGAGTATTAGAGATTTAGAATCTTGTAACAACAATGCCATTATTTCATGCATAGGAAATACCCATGGGTTGAGGGCCTGGATGAGACGAGTGCAATGGCAGGAATTTCATAAAACCAACAACACTGATGTCATATGAAAAGCAGTTAACAATCAATAAATAACATTATGTGGATGAGTGCAATTTTCAAAAGCATGACTTAGATGATAACTGAGCCCCCTCGTCCAGACCCTCATTACATTTGCCCAGTAACCACTCAATGAAACCAGGGCCCTTGTGAATAGCAATGTAACATATTGCTGTCTGGCATCTCAACAACACAGAGGTCTGCAAAATATGACAGCTTAAAGAAACTGATGTTTAAAGGTAGAGCATGACATTGCAGAATTTAAAAAATACTTTTCTTGAAAAGGTCATTTTCAGTGAACAATGGGCCTGACAAAAATATTTGCTTTAATTGACCTGAACCAGACGAAGGAAGTGCAACAAGTCCACTTGTACCATTGTTGGGGAAGAATACTGTCAACCATTAGAGATCATGACAGGAACAGCTCGTACAGCCACTCCTGCCCATGTGAATATGGTGGAACCATCAGCCTGAGCACCTTCTTCTGCTGCTGATAATCACGACTATAAGTTACATCTCAGAGTAGTAGAGAATTGTGGTGATGTAACTATTTGAATACTTCAACTACACTGCACAACAGTAATGAACAACCCGATGAAAAACTATGTCTGCCATGTTTCAAGTTTATCAGATTTGTTCTTATCACTCAAATCATAATGCCGACAGGACTTGCTCTAAGCTCAGTTGTAATACTGGTGATTGTTTCTCCATATATCACAAGCTTGTATAATATTGAAAAGTTCCAACCCATCCTACCCTTTGTTAATTAAGCAGAAGAGCTAACTACTTTCAAAATAGTCCCCTCAAAAAAGAGTTAACATCTGAACATATAATATTAATCCCATTCCCACACGTTGTTTCAGATAGTTGTGCCATGTCAGCAGAGATGAACACTGCTGTTCTGTAAATTTTGAACATGAGGATTTCTTAAAATATATGACAAATACACTGCTTTTTTTATACACAATTATGGAACACAAATTTGTTCCAAACAAATATTTGCTATTGGTTGTTCAATGTGCTTTGGCAGCCATGTAAAGTCAAAGTGACATTTTGTTCTAGTTAAGGGAAGGCACCTTGGTTTAAACAAATGCCACGATACACACTGGAAGCTCATTAAAAGCAAAAGGTTTGTCAAAAGTGTGCTAATAATTCTCATCATTCAAAGTGTAAACTAAATGGAGGGAGTAACCCCCCTCGTCACGTGACAGCCTGCATCACTTTTGACTCTTCCCCTAAGCAGCTTGAAGAGTTTGATTACTTGCTATATTGTAAAATAAATCTTAGAAAATGCCCAGCAAAGTTTCAAATAATTAAAGGTTTTACCAATTAGTAACAAACCCAAAGTTTGGTGTCCTCATAAGATTGAAAATAAACTGATGAGAAAACATTTTTACATAGCCTTAGAAACATTAACATTTGAGACCATGAACTCCGTATTCTACACAGACACAGACGGACCATGTATACTGAGTCTGTAAGATGTATGGTTATACTGAAGGTAAAACCACTTATCACAACTAAATAGTGCATGGCCTCAATATAATCCTAAATACATTGTCTCAGATCAAACGTGGTCCCACTTGTATCAGCTTGTACACAGATTTTTGAGCACTTGGAACTGGCTCAACAGTTTGTTCATACAATTCTAAAAGATAAATAATGTGTTATAGTGTAGAGCTGTACCAACTGGAGACCAAAGTCATCCCTGAAACCATATTTGTATATAGAAGAAGGAAGTGGACCAACCAAACAAGAAGAAATAAACAAAAGCACAAACAAAAGGCTATTCCAAGCACACATATAGCTGGTACATTCACAGGATATACATATATACTGAGGTAGCGAGGGGCCCTAACACAGCTCACACTGGGCATAAATATACACATGATGTCAGTGTTTTTTTACTCTTAGATATTTACCAGATATTGCATCAGCATCACAAACGATACATATGTGTGATATATAGCTTGCATTGACTGTACACAATGATATAAAACGATCTGTCATAGAAGACCAAATATAAAATGATGGAAGAATCAGTATACATAATGATATACAGAGATACACAGTTCATCATCATGGACATGTTTGTTCTTCAGCCAATCAGGTTTCTGCTGTCGCATCACCTGACTACAACCAACCAATCAGTACATTATTAGACATGCCAGATTGCCGCCAGTTAGATGTCACTTTGCTTGTTTAGGAAGGCTAAGTTCAGGTATATTCAGAGCCTTTTGCTCAGTTCTCTTTCAGTATCACCACCACTCATTTGTTCATACTCAGTACAGTCTAAAAAACTGCTTCAGAGGATATTTCCTCCAACTCAGAGTATATAAGAAGGTTCCACCTATGGCAAGGTGAGAAGACCCAGTCAATATCACTAGGTGAATGTGTGTTGTTTATACACGCCGGGTCCAGTTTGATTCATTACTAGTATGTCAGAAAAGAGAGCTCATTTCAGAAACATGTCTGACTCATTCATTAATGTGAACTCTTGTATAGGTACTGTGGTTGAAATTATTACGTTTGTTTACACAATCGGGAGTGAATCTTCAGGCTGTGACGAGCAGTTCATTGCACAGCACTTTGATCACATCCGTAAGTTGAACACTACATGCAAAGCTGTAATGGGATCAACCCTTTCTGTCTTTGGTCTGTTTTTTCCTCCTGTTTACCCTTTTCTTCACACCATGGACCCTTCCTTGTCTTGCGTGGAAGAGTCCACTAAAGGGTGGGAGGTGTTAATTTGAAAGCACCAAGATCTTACTGATGTCACAGTGTCATACCTGTTGGAGTAAAGAGACACATGAGTGACTGCAAAAGATTAGCATGAACGGAAAAACTGAGTCAGTTTCTACAGCATGTTACTGGTATTCTTTGAACAATGCTTGGATCATTTTCATTCCACAAAAGTGTACTCTGAATACAATTATTACATATTTTTCTTTGGTTCTTTACATGGATGAAATTGAAACAAATCTTCCAGCAGGGATAATCATTTATTTCATTTATCCAGTTAACATTTTTCGTATGAAATAATTGCAGTGTACTGAGGAAGTACTCACATCTGTTACAACAGTTTCATAATTCTGCTTGAACACCCTGGATTTCATGTAATCAATATAGGACCTGGCTGAGGACACTGGAGTTAGATCCTCTGGACCTGGCTTCCCCCCCCTTCGGTCCCCCCTCCTCCCCCAGGGTCCGCCTCTCCACTAGAAATGTCTGTACCAATACCGCTCTCTGGAACACAAACATACCAATACACTCAGCACTGCCAAAGAAAGAGCAATTGATCTCACCATTTATCAAAATACGATTACTGACTTATGGCCATGTTTGGGGTTTCATTCTGTCATTGCGTAATGTCTGGTGTTTCAACGTTTGGTGATACAACATCTGCGTACATAATAAGGGAACATCGCCACATCTACATACTATCTTGGCCACAAAGTTGCCTGGGCATGTGATGGAATATACTGCACAGATGGCCATGAAACTAACACACTGATCTGTGCTAATGGTACTGCATAAGGAACAAGTGTTTGCCACTAACATGGCAATGTACCCTGCCACTAAAGAAGAATGAAATATAACATATTTACTAGTGTTTATGTTCTGGTTACATAGAAGATTACCTTTTGTGGGATGTAGTTTTTAGTGTCAAAGTGTCATGGTGACCTTGAAAATAAGGTCAAGGTCACCCAAATCAACTGGTGTCTGCGTAATCCTCCCAATGTAGGCTGTCACCAAATTTGAAGACATTGGGTACAACAGTTCATGAGATATCGTGTTAACAAGAATCGGGACGTACGGGCGCTGCTGAATACATAGTCCCCCATACCAGTCGGCACAGTAACATGTTCTACATTAACTTATGTAAGACATTCCCCACTCACCATTTGACAGGAAGGTGACAGATCTCCTCTGATACCGGGGACTGTCGAGAGGGTCGAAGGCGAGGTTGAGAGACCCGAACAGACCGAAACTGGAGTGGCTGGAGTTGGAGGAAGAGGTGCTGCTCACAGAGATGATGGAGTGGGGGCGCTTGTTGCCGTTCCGCAGGTGCTCGAACGATGATACTGCTATAGAGTTCCTTGTTCGAGCTGAAATATTATGAGAATTTATGGTTGTTAACATGAAAATTTGGAATGAGTTTTGAGTACTGTCACAGAATGCAAGTTATGTAGTACACCAATACATAATGGCTGACAGGGATCTCAGGGCAGGATAGTCCCTCTTACTCTGTGGGAATCTCAGGGCAGGATAGTCCCTCGTACTCTGTGGGAATCTCAGGCCAGGATAGTCCCTAGTAGTCTGTTAGGATCTCAGGGCAAGATAGTCCCCAGTACTCTGTGGGGGTTTAAGGGCATGATAGTCCCTCGTACTCTGTGGGAAACTCCCAGGATAGTCCCAAGTATTCTGTTAGGATCTCAGGGCAGGATAGTCCCTCGTACTCTGGGAATCTCAGGGCAGGAAAGTCCCCAGTAGTCTGTTAGGATCTCAGGGCATGATAGTCCCTCATACTCTGTGGGAATCTCAGGGTAGGATAGTCCCTCGTAGTCTGTTAGGATCTCAGGGCAAGATAGTCCCCAGTACTCTGTGGGAATCTCAGGGCATGACAGTCCCTAGTAGTCTGTTAGGATCTCAGGGCATGATAGTCCCTCGTACTCTGTGGGAAACGCAGGGCAGGATAGTCCCTCGTAGTCTGTGGGGATCTCAGGGCATGATAGTCCCTCGTACGCTGTGGGGATCTCAGGGCATGATAGTCCCTCATACGCTGTGGGGATCTCAGGGCATGATAGTCCCCAGTACTCTGTGGGAAACTCAGGGCATGATAGTCCCTAGTAGTCTGTTAGGATCTCAGGGCAAGATAGTCCCTCGTACTCTGTGGGAATCTCAGGGGGATAGTCCCTCGTACTCTGTGGGAATCTCTGGGCAGGATAGTCCCTCGTACTCTGTGGGAAACTCATGGCAGGATAGTCCCTAGTATTCTGTTAGGATCTCAGGGCAGGATAGTCCCTAGTACTCTGTGGGGATCTCAGGGCAAGATAGTCCCTCGTACTCTGTGGGGATCTCAGGGCATGATAGTCCCTCAGTATTCTGTTAGGATCTCAGGGCAGTATAGTCCCTCTTACCCTGTGGGGATCTCCAGGCATGATAGTCCCTCGTACTCTGTGAGGATCTCAGGGCATGATAGTCCCTCGTACTCTGTGGGGATCTCAGGGCATGATAGTCCCTCGTACTCTGTGGGGATCTCAGGGCAGGATAGTCCCTATTATTATGTTAGGATCTCAGGGCAGGATAGTCCCTCGTACTCTGTGGGAATCTCAGGGCAGGATAGTCCCTCATATTCTGTTAGGATCTCAGGGCAGGATAGTCCCTCTTACTCTGTGGGAATCTCAGGGCAGGATATAGTCCCTCATATTCTGTTAGGATCTCATGGCAGGATAATCCCTAGTACTCTGTGGGGATCCCAGGGCATCTCATATTCTGTTAGGATCTCAGGGCATGATAGTCCCTCTTACTCTGTGGGAATCCCAGGGCAGGATATAGTCCCTCATATTCTGTTAGGATCTCATGGCAGGATAATCCCTAGTACTCTGTGGGGATCCCAGGGCAGGATAGTCCCTCATATTCTGTTAGGATCTCAGGGCATGATAGTCCCTCTTACTCTGTGGGGATCCCAGGGCAGGATAGTCCCTCGTATTCTGTTAGGATCTCAGGGCAGGATAGTCCCCAGTACTCTGTGGGAATCCCAGGGCAGGATAGTCCCTAGTACTCCATTTAATAGTATTCTGGTTAGATCTCAAAGTAGGAGAGGTCCCCAGTATCTCATACATGTCATATCTGCTGACCCAGAGAGGCTGCCACATAAAACAACACCTTTATCTTACAACTGTTCATTGCCTCAATCAAATAATATTTGAAAAATCAATCTGAACTGTCTGCCATGACTTACATCCCCTGGAGCCGAGAGCAACGTTGATGAAGCGATCCTGTATGTTGTCAGCGCTGGGTTTGAGATCCAGGCAAGGCTTACTGCCAACCCCCATCGTGGCCATTTCTGTAAGACGCACCTCTGTTAGGACAGAAATTACGGGGGACAGTGAGAGGAAAGCTCTACAGACTTCACTATGCTCATGCCAGCTCGGGTGTTGGAGATGTGAGGTACACTCGTCTGTCCGAAACATCATCGCAGAAACATATTCTATGCAGTAGTGTAGCAATTCAGAAATAGTAATTTAGTACTTTTCCAAGTTGTGAAATTATTATTCATCCTTCTTGGTCTTAATCAAAACAATATTGTCAGTTCACAAAATGGCTGTGTTAACTTGATATTTGTGATTCATGTTCACTAAGAGATGATCTTCATAATAATTATCAAAATATTGTTGATCTTAAACCCCTTAATTATTCAGTGTAAGCTTATAGCATTGTGTGTATTACCAAACTCTGCTTCAAATATGATGTACTAACTGGAAATTCTTAAGTTAGTAAATTTTCCCCATTATTCTGATACTGGTATATAACTGTTGGAAGTCGTTAAATGAGCAATGTAACCTCACAACATCCAATGAGCCAAGTGTGATGATGGCATCTGATTGGTTAATCTAGAACTGGGGGCAACTTGACCAGCCAATCAGATGACACCAAGGATTATAATTAGTGGAAGAGAAGGGAAGGGAATATAGATGTAGTACAATATGTTAGAGTTAGGCACAAAGAAGTAATACTAAGTTATACACACACACAGATACACACACTGATGGAAGGAAGGAAGAACAGCTACAAGTGGAAGAACATGTGCTACAACATGTTGTACGCCAGAAAATGTTGACAGTTTACTAGTGCTGTGAACACACCAGATGCTCATGTTCAACTCTGTTTCTTTCAATGAAGTGACATATTTTGTATTCATTATGCAAAAATCATTTAACATAAAATATGTAGCAGTATGTGGCTTAATATTCTGTCCATCAATATATACAATACTATTTGTTGCCTCTCCAGCATAAGCAAAACAATAATGGAAAAGAGATTGTTTAGACCACAATATCAATTTCAGTCAATACGTTCCATTAGTGTGTGACTCCATAAAGATTCTTGACAAGTTTAAAAAATGTTTTCCATTGCATTGTGCCACAACTTAGTCATTAAGCTTATGCTGGAGAGTGCACATATAATCCCATATATCTGTTAACTTCTTCAAGCTATCAGTACACAAATTGATATTCCATAAAACATGCAAACATGTAGCCTCCTGTACTATGTGGAGAACATAATGAAAAATATGCAACAACATCCTTTTAAATGTTCCATCAGTTCTCAAAATATATCAACAATATCTGGACAAGTACCACAAAGACAAACTTCACCGATATTCTGCAGTGAAACAAAAAAGGCATTCAACTTATGGCTTAGAGCAGATTGTTTTAATAATTTCAAAACTTTCTCAAATGCAAAGAAATCTGAAGGCATCTCAGTCCTTAAAGAGCATTCTTCTGGAACCCGTTGGCCAATGCAGCAGTGTTTCAGCTGTACCTCAGCAAGTACTCAACACTGGTGGCTGGTGCAAACCTGTACATCCCACTCCAACGCATGGAGTAACCTCCCCTAATGATAGGGTGGTGGTAGAGAGCTTCAGTGAGCTAGAGTTACCTCCCCTTCTTACCTCTGTTCTTGATGGCCTGCTTCCACAACATCTTGGAAATGTCCCGTACCCATGCCCGCTTCACGTCAGAGCTCTGAGCCTGAAGGATGTAGTTCTCTCCCAGAGACCGCCGACGAAACCAAATCTCAAACTTGTAGCCACTGTCGCCATAGTTCTCCGTCAAACCAAGATCAGAGGTCTGAAAGATGAAAAGAGACAAGATCTTATAATTTGGCCTCCTTACCTTAATTGCAGATCAGATACTAGAATACAGCCAAACCAAACCATTTTATGATTTATCAGCATCTTCATGCACCTGTTAATTGTATACCCAGAGACCCTTTAAGCTGGAACACTGTTCTCGGCGGCATTAAACAACAACAAACCAACACTTTAAGATCAAATGGTCTCTGGTTACACCACAGTTAACTTGATGCTGTGATATACAGTGGTTCAATACTGCAAAATAAGTGTTATTGTTCTTCAGTGCAATGAGTGAAATGTGAGGATTCAAGGTAAAACAATACATTTCAAAACTGAAACCTGAATTGCATCATTAATTATATAAGAATATGGTGAGACGCCATCTTTGTAAATAAAGGTACAGTCAGTAACATGCAGTAACAGAAATCACCATTTCAACTTCAATTAGACATTCCAAGGGCTAGATACCCGTGAAGATCCGGGTTAGAATTGATCATCAGTAACCCATGCTCGTCGTAAGAGGCGACTAACGGGATCGGGTGGTCTGGCTTGATGACTTAGTTGACACGTGTCATCGGTTCCCCATTGCGTAGATAGATGCTCATGCTGATGATCACTGGACTGTCTGGTCCAGACTTGATTATTTACAGACCGCCGCCATATAGCTGGAATATTGCTGAGTGCGACGTAAAACTAAATTCACTCGCTCACTCCAAGGGCTAGATACTGATATTAAGAGTACATGTCCACCAGACACATATGGCAGGGTAAGTCCCTACCTTAAAGCTGTACTTGTAAACATAGATGTCATGGTGGCCCTGTCGACCCCGCTTTGTCTTGCTGAACAAAATGAGGTCCTCGAACAGAAACACACGCCGCAGTGACTTCTTTCTGCCCTGCCACACCAGGAACTCATCCTGACGGAGTAGCCTCCCTTGCTCCTGCAGGTTCACCTGAGTGAAATACACAACTTATAGACAGAACTTCTACCACACTTGTATACTGAAGTAACCGTTTCATATCAGAGGAGAAGGATTAATGGGGACTGAGACACCTCCTGATGTTAAGAAATGAATGACTGTCCTGATACTGGCTGGTCTCTGCAGTGAATAACTCTTCCAAACAGGATATCCAAATGCTAGCCATGCACAACAGCCAGCCATCTTGTCAGCATATTTACAGCAGTTATTTTCCTAAATCACAATTTGCATCATCAAAAGTACAACCAGTGATAATATGAGCCTTTATTCTTATATTTGTAACAAAGGGTGGTGGGGAAGCCAAATAGTCATAAGTGTTCGCTCATCATGCTGAAGACCTGGGTTCGATTCCCCACATGGGTACAATATGTGAAGCACATTTCTGGTGTGATATTGCTGGAATATTGCTAAAAGTGGTGTTGCCCACTCACTCATTTGTACCAATACTAGCCAATACTAATCATATAAACACAATTAATGATTATTTCTGTGACTGGAAGACAATACTTATTATTCTATTCACGTAATCTGTAAGAGCATGGCTTATGGAAGTACTTACATCACATTCTCGTAGTGAATCCATAGCAAGTAGGTCGTTGCCATGGCGAAGCTGGAACTTCACCATTTCCTCAGCAGCCTGTGGAATGGTTATCAAGAAACATGGGTGAAAACTGTCATTAACATATATATCCACTTTACAAAACGTCTCTTACCTCTCATGTCACTGATTTTATTGTAATGGCAGGGAGAATTATCTTTAGTGCAGATAGGCAGGCAGTGTAGGTATAATTGTTTGGTTTACACGAAAAGCAAGCTCTGCTTATCACCCCATGATCCCTGAAGCAGGTAGAAATGGTGGGTCCCCCTGTTAACACCAGACTCTTGCTCACCAAGCTGCACAGGTCAACAGCTCTGACACACACCACATCTTAATCCCGAACCGTAATCATTTATCAGTGGACTCTGGAAGTTGTTTTCTCTTCCAAAAAATCAACCACTTTAAAGTTTTACTACACAGCCCTGGACCAGACAATGATATGGTTGTTAGAGGTTAGAGGCAAAAATTTCATGAATTTCTTTTTTCAGTTTGTCTTCATTCTCGTAGTTTCATGATTCAAGGGACAAAAACAACCATGAACTGATGGATGATAGTACATCCTGACTAAACTCATTAAGCCCGAGAGCCAGCTCACTACTCAACACCTGGACGCCCTTGCTGATTGCCCACTCGCTGTGCCGAGACTAATTTAGTGCTAATCACACCTGATTTCCCTGGCAGGTTTTGGGGATGACAGGAAACTGTCTGGTCGTACAAACAAGTCCTGATTGTTTAATTGTGTCGTAAAGATATATGTTGAAAGAAAGCAGGTGTGAATACATATCGTGTATTGCAAAGTTTTATGTAAATTTATTGCAAGTTTCTCTTGTAGACCTTTGGCGGCTTGTACATTTATATTTTATCACCATTTGCATTTATTCTTTGTATGTAAGAGATGAAACATACATAAACAAATTCTCTCTCTCATATCATTGTGTGAGGTTTAATTTTACAAAACACCTATGACAATGATATACTGTAAAGAAAAATTTACTTACATACTTTTAATCCTAGACGAAATAACGTTTTTGCCGATACATTACTAGTGTATATGAATTACTTTAATGAAAGTACTATTACGCTAGTCTGTGACTAACATAGAGCACATTCATAGCTTGGCACTTTGTTTCATCTAGATTTAATGCAGAAAACATAAGTGACCATACAAACATACATATAAAAATGTATACTACATATTCCTTGCATAGACATAAAACAAAGAGTCACGTGACAGGGCATCATCAAATTTCCCAAATAGAACGTTCGGTATCTCAACTGTTCAATATAGTGGCTGGTCATATGTTATCTGTGACCAATCGTATCATGAGATACCTGTCACAGAGGAAAGGACAGGTGATGGGGCGTGGGCGAAATTTCTGAAGAGCACATTTGGTCACTCAACAGCTTGAATAGAGATTGATTATTGGCTATATCTTTGACCAGTCGAAATGCTGGGTTTCGGCTTTATCAATTCAAGCTATCATCTAACAGTTTGTGTATTATAAACATACACACTGGTAACGATGTATGAAATATACACATAAGACAAATAGGAGTAAATAGACACTTTGGCCAGTTTATTTGTCCTCATTTTAGTGTTTTTCGATAAGAAAAACAAAGCGATTGAAATCCAACCATTAAGTAGAGAAGTGACACTATACTGAAACATTATAGTGTATAAACTTGCAGTTGAATCCCCCCCCGATATTTATGAAGGTGGGCGTGCCTATATTTATACTGAATGCAAACGAGGTTCATAAAATTAAAGATGTGCATGCATAAACATTACAGAGAGGGGCTCCATAAAGCAAGTTGTCCAATGATATAACAACATGTTTATTTTACACTTGTCACGGGACAAACCTTTCAACAAGGATGTTACTACATATGCATTCTACCGGAGGCTGTTCGAAAGAGGTCTTCAATTATCTCATTACTGTAATCTGATTGAATGATTATATGCATGTGTATCGATACCGTAACTGATATACTATCCAACTTATATTGACGATGGATCAATAGAGACTGAGTTCATTGATACACATGATAATTACACCGGATTTGATAATTACAGAGATCAAATACAAATAATTTACACAATGCTCATGTAAACTGCATAGAAAACTGACAATTCAAATCAACGTGAAACTTTCAACAGCTTGAACAAAAATGCTTGAAATACTTTTGTATGGTTTACATGCAATAACTTATGATATTACTTCTGTCAATGTGTGAGAACTTTTTAAATTACCAACTTACTGTGTTTTGTAACAAACGTAGTAAAAAATTTCATTGTTGTAATAACACTGACATGTATATATATTCGATGCAAAGGCGCGGCTTATCACTTTATATTCGATAAGGTAACATTATCAACTTTAGATTACGGAAAATAACTAGTAACAATTCAGTAAGCATCAAATTAGTAAGTTAAATTATGTCTAATCTATTTGAGGTTGGATGTATAATTATTTGTGTTTATACATTATGTTTCATTATATGAAACATGACAACGTAATAATATCTAAAAAGTAAATTCAAACTATTCTATTGTGTTTGAATTCTTTGTATGTCCTTGAAATTTCGTATATTGTTTCCTATTTATTAGGAAGTTGAAGAAAATATAATCTTCAGTAACCTCTAAACCATTACATCTAATTCAATCAATGTGCATACGAAGTATTTTGTATCCATTCCCAATGAAGAGTACCAGACACTTATCTCTGTAAAACCATCATAATCATTTGCCAAACGCTTTACAAGTCTATGATAATGACTAGCAATTGCTATCAAAACACTTTAAATACTTCTTCTGACTGACACTAAAGGTAGCATCTCTCGTACGAAAAGCTAATATTTGCTCAGTACTACTAAATTGGTTGAAATAATAGGTACAGTGCGATTTTTAAAAGTACAACACATATGTGCGTCTCTCGCTGAATAAGAGGTGCTTTCTGTTGACGAATATATGTGGCTCTCGTTGTGAGAAACTGCCAATTACACGTCACTCGCTAAACAGAGGAAAGCGACAGAAGATAGATTAAGATGGGATGAATTGGGAGAAGTGACAAGATGAATGGGTCTTAAAATTGGAAAGGTTATGAGGTGCAAGGAGAAAATAACGAAGTAGATCATGATGATAAAATCGAGGTTAGCGATTGGAAAATTGACAAATGAAGGTCATCCGTCGAAAGAAGTTAATGAGGTCTGGAAAATGCAAATGAGATCAAAGCAAAGATAAAGGTCTTAAAGAAGTAAAGTGATAAAGTCGAAAGTTGTAAAGGGTCTGGAAGAAATGCAAAGAATCGGTCTCGCTAAAGTAAATCCGAAAGGTTATGAAAGGTGGAAGAAATATAATGTCGGATATGAAATCTCCCGCTTAAAGGAAATTAAAGTGTCGAAAGTTAAGGGTCGGAGAAATGCATAAACGGTAGGATGTGAAATAGGTCTCCGCTTCACAAAGTGAAGTGTCGAAGGTTAAAGGTCCCACAGGAGAAATCGATCCGCTAAAGTGATGTCGAGGTCGAAAGGTTAATGAAAGGTCACAGGAAAGTAAAACAATGGATCGGTCTCCGCTGAAGTAGTGTCGAAAGTTATGAAGGTCTGGAAAGTATAATGGATGAAGTCGGTCTCCGCTAAAGTGGAAGATCGAAGGTTATTGAAGTCGGAAAGTATGACAAAGATGAATCGGTCTCGCTTCATGAAGTGATGTCGAAGGTGTAAGATGGAAAGTAATCGGTCTCCGGCAAAGGAAGTAAAATTGATCCGAAGGTTAATAGGGTCGAGAAGTATAATGATGGATGTAAGGAATAATAAAATATGAAGTGGTGATGGGGAATAGAGGTTAATGAGGTCTGGGAAGATATAAACAATGGGATGTGAAGGTCTTCCGCTATGAAGTGGTGATGGTCGAGGTTATTGAGGTCACAGGAGAAATGCAAACAGTAGGATGTGAGAATAAGGTCGTCCGCAAAGTGAGTAATCAGGAGTCGAAGGTTATGAGTCTACAGGAGAAATATGGTAGGATGTGAATAGGTCTCGCTAATGAAGTGGAAGTCGGGGAATCGAAGGTTAAGGAACCAAAGGGAGAAACAAAGAATCGGTCATCGCTGAAGTGGAAATTAAAGAGGTTAATGAAATTGACAGTAGGATATGGGTCTCGCTATAAAGTCGTGTCGGTCGAAAGGTTAGTGAGTTGGAAAGTAGACAGTAGGATGAATGGGTCTTAAGCTATAAAGGAAGTGGAAGTGATGGGAATAAAGGTTGGTCACGGGAGAAGTATGACAGTAGGATGTGAAATCGATCTCGCAAAGTGGAGTGTCGAAGTCGAAGGTTAATGAAAGATTACAAAGGAGAATAAGGTCGCCGCAAAGTGAAATTGTCGAAAGAAGGTTAATGAAAGGTAGGAAAGTATGACAAAGGATGTAGAATAAGGTCTCGCAAAGGTAAAGTGATGGGGAAGTCGAAAGGTTAATGAAGGGTCAGGAGAGGAAATAGAAGGATGAAATAAGGTCTCAAAGCTGGGGAAGTGGAGTGATGGGGAATCGAGGTTATGGGTCTGGGAGAATATGACGGTGGATGTGAGAATGGATTAAAGCTATAGGTGATAAGAGGTTATGAGTTACAGGAGAAGTATGAAGGATGTGGAATAGAGGGGATTGTGTGAGACAGTGTTTAAAGGGAGATTATAAGAGGGTGTGAAGGGTGAAGGGTGAAGTGAGGGTTGGCGAGGGGAGGGTGTGAGGGAGGGAGAAAGGTCTGTGAGAGAGGGTGTGAAGGAGGGTGTGAAAGGGAAGGGAGGGTCGTGAAGGTGAGGGTTGTGAAAGGGTGAAGAGGTCTGAAAGGGTGAGGTTATGAAGGGTGTGAAAGAAGGTCTGACAGAAGGGTGAGGTTATGAAAGGTGTGAGAAAGGAAAAGGTCTGTGAAGAGGGTGGCAGGTTGTGAAAGGTGAAGGAAGGTCCTGTGAAACGGTGAGGTTATGAAAGGGTGTAAAGAAAAGTCTGTAAAGAAGGTGAAGGAGGTTATGAGAAGGTGGAAGATAGGTCTGTAAAGGTGTAAAGGAAGAATAAAGTCTGAAAGAAGGTGAGGAATTTAATGAAAGGGTGTAAAGGAAGAGATAAGTCTGGCAAAGAGGTGAGGAAGAGAATAAAGTCACAAGAAGGTGAGGTTGTGAAAGGGTGTGAGGGAAGAAAGGTCTGTGAAAGGTCTTTGAAAGGAAGAAGGTCTGTAAAGGATAAAGGAAGGAAAGGTCATAAGAAAGGTGTAAAGAAGAACAAAAGTCATGAAAGGTGATGAAGGACAAAGAAAAGTCTATGAAAGGTGTGAAAGGACAAAGATCTGTAGAAAGGAAGTGAAAACGAAAGTCTTGAAAAGGTGAAGGAAAATCAAAGAGAAAGGTGCAAAGGAAAATCTGAAAAGGTGAAAGGAAAGGAAAATCTGAAGATGTGAAGTCAAGAAAGGTGAAGAGTCAAAGGTGAGGAGTTGTGAAAGGAGTGAAGATCTGTGAAGGGTGAGGTTCCTGAAGAAGTGCTTGCCGTACTCTCCCATTAGGTTGTCTGACTTGGGCTTGTTCTTGTTGTAAAGTGCATACAGGTAGAACTGGGTCTCCTGAAACAGACAGCAGCACTAAGAAACCACAGATACCAGCAGTCATGGATAATCGTCCTCAATATTCAATAGCAGGATGACAGGAAGTAATAATTACCAGTATCACATTTTTCAACAAGGGCACACATAGAATGGGCTTCCCATCTTGTTACCAAGTGGGGAATTACACTGCACCATCTAAGTGAAGAGCAAATACTGTTACCATCAGGCCATGCCACAGCACCCAGGTGACAGTAAAGCCGTTATCACCTGGCCACCCAACAGCACCCAGGTAAAAGTAAAGCTGTAACCATCTGGCCACCCCACAGCACCCAGGTGACAGTAAAGCTGTTACCATCTGGCCACCCCACAGCACCCAGGTAACAGTACAACAGTTACCATCTGGCCACCCAACAGCACCCAGGTAACAGTAAAGCTGTTACCATCTGGCCACCCAACAGCACCCAGGTAACAGTACAACAGTTACCATCTGGCCACCCCACAGCACCCAGGTAACAGTACAACAGTTACCATCTGGCCACCCCACAGCACCCAGGTGACAGTACAACAGTTACCATCTGGCCACCCAACAGCACCCAGGTAACAGTAAAGCTGTTACCATCTGGCCACCCAACAGCACCCAGGTAACAGTAAAGCTGTTACCATCTGGCCACCCAACAGCACCCAGGTAACAGTAAAGCTGTTACCATCTGGCCACCCCACAGCACCCAGGTGACAGTAAAGCTGTTACCATCTGGCCACCCCACAGCACCCAGGTAACAGTACAACAGTTACCATCTGGCCACCCACACAGCACCCAGGTAACAGTAAAGCTGTTACCATCTGGCCACCCAACAGCACCCAGGTAACAGTAAAGCTGTTACCATCTGGCCACCCCACAGCACACATTTTTCAGTAAAGCTGTTACAATCTGGCCACCCCACAGCACCCAGGTAACAGTAAAGCTGTTACCATGATGCCACCCCACAGCACCCAGGATACAAACAGTAAAGCTGTTACCATCTGACCACCCCACAGCACACATTTTTCAGTAAAGCTGTTACAATCTGGCCACCCCACAGCACCCAGGTAACAGTAAAGCTGTTACCATGAGGCCACCCCACATCACCCAGGTAACAAACAGTACAGCTGTTACCATCTGGCCACCCAACAGCACCCAGGTAACATTAAAGCTGTCATGCAGGAGTGGGCAGGAAACCAACCCCAAATAAGTACATGAAGTTGGTAAATAATTACTTTGATTCTGCAAATCATAATACAAGCAACAGAAGTGATTCGAGCCATTCTTACATGCCGCAGAAAATACTGCCCAATCAGGAAGGGGTTTGTTTCACACATCTCCAGTTCAGTTAGGAAATGCTGACTATGGAACTGGTAGATATTCTCAATGTTCCCAAAGATAACATTCCTCTTCCCTCGTAGCGCCTGTGGGACGTCTTCTCGGTCCAGCTCGGGGATATAGTTGTCGATGATGAACTGCAGCGCTCTCACATAGTCTCTTTCCGTCTGTATCATTTCACTCGTGATCAGCGACAAGGTCCTGAACAACAAACATCACATGAACAGTAACTTCCATACAACTGATAAAGTGAATGGTGTTTTATGCAGCAGTAAGTTACACTCTACCGTTACATTGTACTTAGTACAACGACACACACTCAGAAGTAACCACAGTGTCTGAACACTTTATCTAAGTTTTGTCATTCCTTACAATACAAAATGATGTAAGAAGGAAAATTCTTCCACAGAATCCTTACATGTCTGAGTTTTGACTCCCATGGAACACTGATTTGACAACTACCTCCAAGTACCTCATGTCACATGAACTAATAAAGACCTGTGATTGAAACCTATGTCAGCAATAATCCATCCATGTCACAGCAATAATCCAGCTATATCCCAGCAATAATCCAGCTATATCACAGCAACTAATTGAGACATATGATTGAAACCTAGGTCAGCAATAATCCATCCATGTCACAGCAATAATCCAGCTATATCACAGCAATAATCCAGCTATATCACAGCAACTAATTGAGACATATGATCGAAACCTAGGTCAGCAATAATCCATCCATGTCACAGCAATAATCCATCTATATCCCAGCAATAATCCAGCTATATCACAGCAACTAATTGAGACATATGATTGAAACCTAGGTCAGTAATAATCCATCCATGTCACAGCAATAATCCAGCTATATCACAGCAACTAATTGAGATATATGATTGAAACCTAGGTCAGCAATAATCTATCCATGTCACAGCAATAATCAAGCTATATCACAGCAATAATCCATCTATGTCACAGCAATAATCCAGCTATATCACAGCAACTAATTGAGACAAATGATTGAAACCTAGGTCAGCAATAATCCATCCATGTCACAGCAATAATCCAGCTATATCACAGCAACTAATTGAGACATATGATTGAAACCTAGGTCAGCAATTATCCATCTGTGTCACACCATAATCCATCCATGTCACAGCAATAATCCTGCATCTTCACAGTTAGGGGCTGACTATTGAGGGGGATACAACTATTGCGATAGCGATAGTCTACTGCAACATACTACTGCAACATACTACTGCGATAGCGATAGTCTACTGCAACATACTACTGCGATAGTGATAGTCTATTGCGACCAACTATTGTTATGCTATTGCAATAGTTTTTCTCTCCTTGAATTGTCTTATTTGAAGTCATTTCCCAAATGAATGTATAGTAAATATGAAATAAAAACAAGCTGAATTAGTTTTAGTATCTTTTAATAACTGACAAGAAACTTGAAACCCAGATGAAGTAAACAGTTAAGTGAGCGTGTGAGTTAAGGATTTTAAGTCACATCGTCAATGTTTCGGCCATCTCGTGACAGTAAACAGTTAAAACATAAACTCAATGAAGCTGCAAGTCTGCACCCAAACATTCTGAATTTTGTGCTGCACATTTATCAACGGTAGTCAAATACTAAGCTATCGATAGTCACACATACTATTGATGCATCAATAATTTTTCGTTTCTACCATCGATTAATTGCTATCAGAGACTCAACAATTGCAATCCATCGATAGTTCGATGCATCGTTACAGCCTTAATCACAGCAACTGTAATGTTGTAATGAAGGAAGATGATTGGTGTTGAAACCTCAGTCACCACTAATCTAGCTATATTAATCACACCTTTTAACTGTTCAGGAAAATAGACCAGTTCAATTAATAACTAACTCTAAATTACATTTGTGCAAATTAAACATTTCACAACTTTCATAATAATTAATTTCTTCTTAAATTTAACAAATTTATTTAATCCTTTATTTAAGTGTAGAAATATCTTGTTTTAGGAAAGACAATGGCTGTTTGTAAAAAGTTGATCCAAAGTAACTCAGCAGTTTAATGGCAAGGTATTCACCCATTAGCTGATTCACGTCAGGCTATGTTACACACAAAAGAGAACAAAATATTTTTCTGTGTCTTGTTTCTCATCTCATTTTGAAATAATTCAAAGATGGTTTGAACTGTTGTCTCAATGGTGGCAACTACTGATCTGAAATATTGGCTGAATATTGTTACTGTCAAACAGCCCATATTTTTTTCAAACTGGGAAAATCTTCCACAGGATGCTTTTTATTAGGTAAATATTTTCAGAAATCATAAGCTTAGTCTTTGTTTTCTTTAAATACTATTTCTGAAACATAGCAAGTGCTCCTTTGTAGGACTTCATAGACATTTCTGACAGTCATCTAATATTTTTCTAACACAAACAAATAAATCCTTGCCGAATCTTACAGCAACTTTATCCAATCATAGGGTCAGACGTTACGTTGACACCACTCATGAATATTTCTCGTATTTTTAACCAGGATCAAAGACAGGACTGTCACGTGTCACAGCCATCTAGACGTCTGACTCGTTAACAAACAGGGTTTCGTGTTGGGAGTTGAGGTAATGAACTGCAAGTGACCACAATGTGGTCAAAGCTTATACAAACACGCTCTCATTGGACGATATTTCTGACATTGTCGTCTTACCCAGACGAGGACAACTTACAAATGTTGACATTGTGCAATGCTCATGTTTCCAGAGAAGCCCATTACACTGTTACTGTGTAAGACAAGAGGCTAGGCTGCACAGAGGAGGCAAGGAAGGTGTCCATGAGGAAAACAAGGGAAGGTGTCCATGAGAAAAATAAGGGAAGGTGTCCATGATGAACACAAGGGAAGGTGTCCAAGTGGAACACAAGGGAAGGTGGCCATGAGGAGAAGAAGGGAAGGTGGCCATGGAGAAAGCAAGAAGAAGGTCTACATGGGGAAGGTGTCTGAGGGGAAACAAGAAATGGTGTATGTGGGAAAAACAAGGGAAGGTGGCCAAGGGGAAAACAAGGGAAGGTGGCCATGGGGAAAACAAGGGCAGGTGGCCATGGGGAACACAAGGGAAGGTGGCCATGGGGAAAAAAAGGGAAGGTGGCCATGGGGAAAACAAGGGAAAGTGGCCGTGGGAAAAAAAAGGGAAGGTGGCCGTGGGGAAAACAAGGGAAGGTGGCCATGGGAAAAAAAAGGGAAGGTGGCCATGGGGAAAAACAAGGGAAAGTGGGGGGGTGGGGGGGAAAAAAAAGGAAGGTGGCCATGGGGAAAAAAAAGGGAAGGTGGCCATGGGGAAAAAAAAGGGAAGGTGGCCATGGGAAAAAAAAGGGAAGGTGGCCATGGGGAAAACAAGGGAAGGTGGCCATGGGGAAAACAAGGGAAGGTGGCCATGGGGAAAACAAGGGAAGGTGGCCATGGGGAACACAAGGAAGGTGGGGGGAAAACAAGGGAAGGGGAAAACAAGGGAAGGTGGCCATGGGAAAACAAGGGAAGGTGGCCATGGGAAAAAAAAAGAAGGTGGCCATGGGGAAAACAAAGGGAAGGTGGCCATGGGGAACACAAGGGGAAGGTGGCCATGGGGAAAACAAGGAAAAGGTGGCCATGGGGAAAACAAGGAAAGGTGGCCATGGGGAAACAAGGAAGGTGGCCATGGGGAAAACAAGGGAAGGTGGCCATGGGAAAACAAGGGAAGGTGGCCATGGGGAAAACAAGGGAAGGTGGCCATGGGAAAAACAAGGGAAGGTGGCCATGGGGAAAACAAGGGAAGGTGGCCATGGGGAAAACAAGGGAAGGTGGCCATGGGGAAAACAAGGAAGGGAAGGTGGCCATATGAACACAAGGGGCCATGGGGAAAACAAGGGAGAAGGCCATGGGGAAAACAAGGAAGGTGGCCATGGGGAACACAAGGGAAGGTGGCCATGGGGAAAACAAGGGAAGGTGGCCATGGGGAAAACAAGGGAAGGTGGCCATGGGGAAAACAAGGGAAGGTGGCCATGGGGAACACAAGGGAAGGTGGCCATGGGAAAAACAAGGGAAGGTGACCATTGGGAAAACAGCTGAGCTGACATCCTCACGTAAACAGCTGACCTCCAACATCCTCTCTAGTAAACAGTTGACCTCCAACATTCTCTAGTAAACAGTTGACCTCCAACATTCTCTTAGTAAACAGTTGACCTCTAACATTCTCTAGTAAACAGTTGATCTCCTACATCCTCTAGTAAACAGCTGACCTCCTACTTCCTCAAGTAAACAGCTAACCTACTTCCTCTCGTAAACAGCTTATCTCCCATATCCTCTAGTAAACAGCAGACCTCCTACATCCTCTAGTAAACAGCTTTTTTCCCATATCCTCTAGTAAACAGTTGATCTCCTACATCCTCTAGTAAACAGTTGAACTCCTACATCCTCTCGTAAACAGCTGACCTACTACATCCTCTAGTAAACAGCTTATCTCCCATATCCTTTAGTAAACAGCTGACCTCGTACATCCTCTAGTAAACAGCTGACCTACTACTTCCTCTAGTAAACAGCTTATCTCCCATATCCTCTAGTAAACAGTTGATCTCCTACATCTCCTCTCGTAAACAGATGACCTACTTCCTCTAGTAAACAGCTTATCTCCCATATCCTCTAATAAACAGTTGATCTCCTACATCCTCTAGTAAACAGTTGATCTCCTACATCCTCTAGTAAACAGTTGATCTCCTACATCCTCTAGTAAACAGCTGACCTCCTACATCCTCTCGTAAACAGCTGACCTACTTCCTCTCGTAAACAGCTTATCTCCCATATCCTCTAGTAAACAGTTGATCTCCTACATCCTCTAGTAAACAGTTGATCTCCTACTTCCTCTTGTAAACAGCTGACCTACTTCCTCTCGTAAACAGCTTATCTCCCATATCCTCTTGTAAACAGCTGACCTCCTACATCCTCTAGTAAACAGTTGACCTACTTCTTGTAAACAGCTGACCTACTTCCTCTAGTAAACAGCTCATCTCCCATATCCTCTAGTAAACAGCTGACCTCCTACATCCTCTAGTAAACAGCTGACCTCCTACTTCCTCTTGTAAACAGCTGACCTAATTCCTCTAGTAAACAGCTTATCTCCATATCCTCTAGTAAACAGTTGACCTACTTCTTGTAAACAGCTGACCTACTTCCTCTAGTAAACAGCTCATCTCCCATATCCTCTAGTAAACAGCTGACCTCCTACATCCTCTTGTAAACAGCTGACCTCCTACTTCCTCTTGTAAACAGCTGACCTACTTCCTCTAGTAAACAGCTTATCTCCATATCCTCTAGTAAACAGCTGACCTCCTACATCCTCTAGTAAACCGCTTATTTCCCATATCCTCTCGTAAACAGCTGACCTCCTACATCCTCTAGTAAACAGCTGACCTACTTCCTCTTGTAAACAGCTGACCTCCTACATCCTCTAGTAAACAGCTGACCTACTTCCTCTTGTAAACAGCTTATCTCCCATATCCTCTAGTAAACAGCTGACCTACTTCCTCTTGTAAACAGCTGACCTACTTCCTCTAGTAAACAGCTCATCTCCCATATCCTCTAGGAGACAGCTGACCTCCTACATCCTCTAGTAAACAGCTTACCTACTTCTTGTAAACGGCTGACCTACTACTTCCTCTAGTAAACAGCTTATCGCCCATATCCTCTAGGAGACAGCTGACCTCCTACATCCTCTAGTAAATAGCTGACCTACTTCCTCTTGTAAACAGCTGACCTCCAACATTCTCCAGTAAACAGTTGACCTCCATCCCTCCAATCAAGTGAGTTCTGAACCACTGACGTGCTATTATAAATTTTGGTTGTTACCTTCCTTCTAACCATATTATCTGGGACAGGTCAAGATCACCTGCACTCATGTAGGTGTGAACATGGACATCACTGCTGTATAGCTCTCTGTCTGTGGGTGACAATTCTACATGTCAGACACACTGAAATACTTTAAGTTGATCACAACAAGGTGTGCAGACATTTCCTTCACACCCACAATGAGGTGATGAGCAATCTAAATGAATATTCTATGAGGACATACACTGTGCTGTTGGTGCAATCAAATACATACACTGATTGACATCATTTACAGATGTATAGGGGAAATGAAAGCATTTATATTGCTTCTAAATGCTGAAACTATCCACATTTTGAAATACAATCAAGATATAATACAAAAAAAATGATATAAAAAAAGGAGGAATAAAGATTACATGCAATCTATTGCTGGTAAATGTGACATTATAATAAATCTAACAAGAAGACAAAGTCATCAATATCCCCTGCAATGGCAAAATACTCTTCATGATTATGTCTACGAGTTATGATTATGTCAAATATTTAGGTGTGTATATAGAAAAGTGGAAGGACAGTATTGAAAGGTTTTTAAAGTTCTGCTCCAGAAAGGAACACTATCACCAATTTCAGTCTATGTCAAACTTGTTGCCAAGGAAATGCCAAAAATATTTTATTCAGAAATCCAAAACTACCAAAAGGCACCAGTACACCACCAGATCTATCTATGTGCCAAGTTTGGTGAAGAAATATTGAATGACTTTTTCTGTTTTAGAGTTCTGAATTCAAAACTCGGAAACACCACGGACAAATGTCGAACTTGTTGCCATGGAAGCGCCAAAATGTTTTATTCGAATTCCAAAACTACCAAAAGGCACCAGTACACCACCAGATCTATCTATGTGCCAAGTTTGGTGAAGAAATATTGAATGATTTTAGAGTTCTGCTCGGACGTGCATCGATGAGTCCATTTTATAACCCCATTTTATACCCATAAAAGCGTTGCGGGGGATAATGAAACACATTTTTATGAAGACCTTCCCCAAATGAGAACCATGTTTTAATTGTCATCTCAAGACTTGATTTAAATAGGTATAGTTCATATGCTTGGTTTAATCAAGACTTGATTTAAATAGGTACAGTTCATATGCTTGGTTTAATCAAGACTTGATTCAAATAGGTACAGTTCATATGCTTGGTTTAATCAAGACTTGATTCAAATAGGTACAGTTCATCTGCTTGGTTTAATCAAGACTTGATTTAAATAGGTACAGTTCATATGCTTGGTTTAATCAAGACTTGATTTAAATAGGTACAGTTCATCTGCTTGGTTTAATCAAGACTTGTCGATCACCCCAAGTCTGCAGCAAACAGCCAGTAAAAATTCCCATGAGAATACAACAATTCTGAATCCTTGTCATTACAGTTCTTTTATGAGAAGGCTCTGTCAGCTATACTTGTATTTCACTTAATACAGTACCAATAAAGAGGTGTTGGTATTATTCTTAATTCCAAATTCAGAAAATAAGAACAGTTAGGAAAAACTAATTTATTCCAAAATTGCATGTCAAAGGCTCGAAGTTGTGAATCCTAGAAAAAAACATGAAACAAACTCCCTAGAATGGTAGCACTAGGTGACAAAACTGCAGTTCGCCCTACTGATAAAAGAAGCTGTACCTTCTGTTCTTTATCTCTGCCTCAGAGAGTCTGAGATCAGCCATGGACCCTGTGGGTGTCCCCCGAGTCTGCCTCAGCAGGTGAGTGTTGACAGGAATAGGGGTCCACTCCTTCCGCATACTGCCTAGCTCGCTACCCTGGCCCTCATCAATGTCCTCCTCATCCTCTTCAGGCATACTGCATCACAGAAAGAAACACATGGTAGACAGGTGTGCTGGGAGTGATGCATGCAGTGCACAGAAATGATGGGCCATTCTTGTCAAAGGTTTAATTGTATATTGATGAATCGACACCTTTTAGTTCAGATATAGACACAACAACCACAGTTTGGCATGCAGAAGAAACATTGAAGTATTTGGGGTAATCCATTCAGCACAGTATCATGTCTATTATAAGATGTGCAACATTTCTTAAACTTTGCAAAATCTCTATGTATCAAAATCAAATGGAATAAAGAAGTATTTATGTGAGACAAATCTATGGATAAACATGACAAAACTGTTATGCTTTTATTGTTAGTTATTAAGTGACATGTGGCAGTTTTGCTTCTTCACAGAAATCAGCTAAGCAAAGATATTGATCAGAACTATATTATTCTTCTCTGTCCTAATGCAAACCAAGATTGTTATCAGAAGTTTGTTCTGAAGGACAGAGTCCGTGACCATGCTGAGCATCAAGCATGATGACAGAACATATTGTTCATGATTCCAGCCACACAAAGCTGTCTGTAAATCTGCAATGTAGCGTTGTTGTTGTTGTTGTTGTGTTAGGTGCTTTGGAGGTCGCCTTCGCCGGTTGGCATGTCGGCAGACCTATTCAATGTAGCACACAAGTGGTGTAAAATATAGGCAACTGTACATGACATCAGGGTACAATCAACCAATCCCCAAGGCTGTCCACCAGCACATATGGGAAGCAGTGACTACTAAGGACCACTTCTAACCTGGAGCACCCATGAGGTTGATGACATGCAACCAGGGTTTTCCTTGACTTACAAAAGTGGGTCCGGAGGGGGAACCCCCATCAATAAATGTTACAGGACCTTGCTGGTGATATGAGGGTACTGTAAAGTATTCCAACGCTGTAGTGCAGTGTACATTAGTGGTGGTCCCATTAATTAAAATAACCGAAGATTGGTCGCAGTGACTAAACGACCAAGCAATCTATCATTTTTTCTCATAATCGAACACAAACAATTCTGGAACACTTGTTTTCATCAACAATTTTTTTCACAAGGTTGGTTTTGTCTGTTACATTTCATAAGCACTACAAGCTTGTTCCAAGTCATGATTGAATTTATCTTAAAGACTCCAAGAAATTTATGTTCCGAACATACTAGCCAGTAGCCATCCTTTAAAGATGTGAAATTTTGCCAAAACCCCCAAAAGAAATACATGTTCTATTCCTTTTTTTGTGCATTAACAAATTTCATAAGTGACACTAACCAATTATTTTCGATGATTGATTGGTTGTAATGAAGCAATCATCAATTATGAGATTTTAACAAATTCCCAACACTAGTGTACTTTCAGATAATTACTTCAGAGCCTGGAATGAATCAGTGGTCATGTGGACAGTGGTCATGTAGACAGTGGTGACGTGGACAGTGGTCATGTAGACAGTGGTGACGTGGACAGTGGTCATGTAGACAGTGGTCATGACTGATGGATGATACTGCAGACACAGATAACTAGCTCTGAAGCAAGGCAGATATTTTTGTGCGTCTCTTTGGACATAGTATTTTTGGGTTTCTGTGTCCATTCTCCTCATTTGGGCATTGCGTAAAACCCCAGCATGCAACATTCATTCAACAGTATAATAACAATTTTAATCTCATGACAGGTATCAGATTCTGAATACCTTACGTAGATTCATGGACATAAATATAACACTACCTTCTAGTTGTGTGAAGATGTAATCTAATCAATTGTGGTTACACCCAGATACGTTGCTTGAAATCACCTCTTAGTAATGACTTGATGGATGAACATAAACCTGCTGATACACAACTAACTTTCAGGAGCCATTCAGAGACAAGTAATTCCTAACCATTTCCATTTACAAGATGCAGGAATGTGTCTGTGTTAACTAATATATCCCAACTACATAGAGTAGGAATGTGTCTGTGTTACCTAATATATCCCAACTACATAATGTAGGAATGTGTCTTCCTACAGAACAAGACTTCCTATGCAGTTGATTCAAGTTACAGCAGTAACGATAGAAACATCGAACACACCTTACTCACCATGAATTACTGACCACAAAGTCACAATCTCCACCACAGAGGCAAAACTATAGTAATCCTGTATATGGTCTGGCTTAACCGACAACACTCCCTTAGTAACGACCCCTTGCAACTTGCCACAGGTAACACACCTGTCCTGACGAGCCAACTGATGAGCAGCCGACTATATGTGTTGTAACACGTGATGTCATCATGATATATAAGGCGAGTATATATAAGCTGATTCTACCCTTGTGATAACACAGTCCTTAATGCATCAAAGATAAAAACCTCAAGTTTGCTTACTAAAGCATGTATTTGACCTAATTTCACAGTGTATTATGGTATGTGTGACTAGGTCAGGTTGACCCTGTTCTTATCAGAGGTTAGACACCACTGGGTACAAGCCCAACTGACTGATGGTCTATTTATATGATCCTCAGCCACCCATCTGCTTAGTATAATACAGCTTTACTTGAACATGTTCATACAATACTGCATGTCATTCTCATCTACAGATACAACACTAATGGAGCATGTAAACCAGCACTGCTAGTTACTTCCTTAGGGGCAGTCACAGGGAAAGCTCCACGCCAAGATCAGATGATCGATCGTTCGACTCCCTTTAATATTGCTTCTTGAATTGTCATATTTTTGGGGTTTCTTGACTGTGGGAAACATCTTGGACATCCCTACTTTAACCTTCAGACCAACTTATCTCACAGGATCAGACACAGCTGAAATACCATTCATGTTCAAAGTTGTGTTGATCTACCTCATCCATTCCCCTCTTTTAAATGTGGATTCATTACAGTAACAACACAGAGTGTTTTCCAAGTGAGTGAGTGAGTGAGTTCTAGCCTGGACTTTGAGTGAGTTTAAGAAATGTTTTTATGAGTATTTTAGCGAGATCTTCAACTAAAAGATGCTACATTTGGACTGGCTACTGTACTAATGCATATAATATGTATCCTATGTTCATGTGAAACACACTTATTTTGTTTCAGCCTATAATGTCAGCTGCAGGGCCCAGCACACACAGGACTGTTGACCTGAGTTATGTCTGTGTGTTGTCAAACACTGTCTAAACACACTGTTACATGACCCACTCATAACATGGGGGTCACTCCACCTGCCTCAATCACATACTCCAATATCATAGTGAGTGAGTGAGTTTAGTTTTACGCCACACTCAGCAATATTCCAGCTATATGGTGGTGGTCTGTAAATAATCGAGTCTTGACCAGACAATCCAGTGATCAACAGCATGAGCATTGATCTCCGCAATTGGGAGCCGATGACATGTGTCAACCAAGTCAACGAGCCTGACAACCCGATCCCGTTATTCGCCTCTTACGACAAGCATGGGTTACTGAAGATCAATATTCTAACCCGGACCTTCACGGGTCTCCAATGTTATAAATCTTGTTTCTGAGCATACATGACCAACAATAAGAGGTTATTGCATCACAGACAATATAATTAACACATAACATTCAGACTTATAAAAAAAGTCTATGCGTAGAGGACTTCAATGCACATGCTGTGAAACTTGTAACAATGTCTGAACACACTGAATAGCAACTTACAAAAAGCAATGTTCAGATAAATGGCCAGCTATACTATGCAGTATTTCCCATCTCTTGTACTAAACACTGATCTCTGTCCCATCTGAGATAAACTGACCAGACGATGGTTATGAGGAGGAGACTGTCAGTGAGTCAACCTCTCTTGGATGCTGATCACTCCAGCACAGATCACTCTCAGTAGCCATTGTGTCCAGTCAATCCCCATTTAGATAGCCTGACAAATTACTGGGGTCCTACAGAATCATCAACCCTGACACAGGAGCTTTCACACACTGACATTTGAAACATTTACTTCAGGGTTCAATATTTGTTCTCTATTTCAAAATGGTGAATATTTATTCTATATGTATTAAGCTTCGTGACTCTAGGAAACTTACGTAGCAGGAATAGCTCCACCAGACCAGCTTCCAATATCAGTGGAAGACAACTGATACACAACCATACAAACCACAAGCTGCTCCCCGCCCACCCCCGTGTTCAGCCTCATCTAGCACAGATACCTTCACACGTCGGCATGATGACATCAATCGAAGGACAAATATGATGCAATGTTGGTGAACATATTCCACCTGCGGACGAGTGTATGATAAATCTATACCCTGGGAATGCAAACAAGGGTCATATGCACTCCATCAACTCAAAAACTGCATGCCATCTATTTCCTCTTGAAAACATATTCAAACATGTTTATAAACAAATATAACAATAATCATTACACAAACACACCAGCATGCATGCTACCTTCAACTAGCACACAAGTGGACATTGTGCTTACAATAACATTTTATGAACCAAAACATGACAGTGTATAAGAGCCACCCAGTTGTGTGACATATTGCCCCTGTACACTTGATAACAGACAAACATGGAGTCAACATCTTCTGTTCAGCCATTCCCACTGATTGCTGCCAAAATAATGATTGTGTGAACAAATCTTCTCTGTTAATGCTTACACAACAGAATGAACATTGATGTTTTTGATACGTACACTGAGCAGTGTGTCATGATCTTGTGTCATATTGTGTTTCTGAAGCCAGAATACTTGAACAATACTTTTCCAATCATAATGATTAAGAATTTCTTTAACCTGGGAAACTGCAATTTCTTCTAAAAACAACTCTTATAAACCATTACACAATATATCTGCTAACCTTTCATAGGTTGTCCCAGTGCAGCCATGTTGTGACATAGTCAGACATCCTTGTTGCCTCCTCCAATAACAAATATACACCCCTGGGTCACAGACTCTGCTGTACCCCGACACTCCAGTCGGACAACACCCCCCACACTGACACACCTGGGGCCAGTTACCCTGCCTCACATACACACTAAGTTAAACATTCTTCTGACCAGGAAACAAA